CGTATTAATTCAGAAGTTGTACAATGGAGTCCAGTAACAGTTTCGAAGCTTATTATTCTATAATAATAGTGCGATCAGATTTCTGTGAGATTTAGATAAGTGGTAGTTTAATTACAATAATATTTTACTTTATTAATAAAGCTATTGAATAAGTTTTGAAAAGTGAATAAACTTTTAGCTTTTCAATATAAGTTTTTCTTGGACTCTCCAGCAAAATAATGTTTTAGACTTTTAGATTGGTTAAACATAAATCTGTCATTTTGCACGAAACTCTGAACCACCAGTAATAGACTGTTTTAAAAAGTATAAAAGAAGATTTATTTTATCTTACCTGTTAACATACTCTCATCTACAATGCAGGTTCCGGTTAGAAGCATAGCGTCACAGGGCATCACACAACCATCAGGTGGCAGAACTAATACATCGCCGGGTACTAGTCGGCTTGCGTTCACTACGCATTCCTCCCGGCCCATGCGGGTCGGTCGAAGCACGGTGACAGTAAATGCACTAGTCGAACCAGCCATTTTGTGGAGATTGATGCTCATCTGGGTAGAAAAGGGATTTTTAAAGTATGTTTATCAACATTACAAGAAGTCCTGATATAAATAAGAATCACGTTCTGACTTACATACAATTGGAGATTCCATACTACTTTTTTAGATTTACCTGTTTCGTTTGATATAAAGCCAGCATACAGGTAGCCACGGACAGCAGGAAAACGCAAGTCGCATACTGATAATACTCATCCAAAGACCAGAGAATGATAGAGAAAACTTGGAACAAATAGAAAGGATTGAAGACTTCTTCGACGAACAGGGTCCAGTAGCTCTTAACTTCCACTTCTACGGAGTTTGTACCATACAGTTTGATCCTGTTGTAAATAAACAGATGTTATTTTTATATAAGTAAGGTTACCATTCTTTTTGAACTGCAAATTAATTATGCAACTTATTTCCATTAACATGATTATTTTTCACTTACAATTCGTTTTGCTGCCGTTTATTTATGCCAGACATATTTTCCATCAGCAGTTGGATAGTGAGCTTCTCATTGAGTGCAAGAACATTAATAAAAACTCCTTGGTCGTTAAGCCAAATGAAACGGTTGTGTTTAAACATAAAATATCGCAATCTGTTATCTTTATGGTTTGATAGGTTTAGGTCAACTTCAAGCACTTTCTCTGTAGTCCATCCTCCATCCGAGTCGATAACTGAAAAGTAATGAATTTATTGATTTATTGAGTATCGAATATACAAAGTTAAAAAGACCTTAGAAATTGGCTCTTTGTAAATATGTAGCTCCGAATTAAAAATGTGTGGATAAGAGAAAATAAAGAAAGATCCATACTTGATCAAACTCACCACAAATTTCCTTAGCCGTTTTCAGACTGCATTTTACGTATTTGAATCGATTGTAGGACGGGTAATAAGCCAATGCAAAATATGGTAAACCACATAGTAATATGCAAACGGTGTGTAATAAAGTAGCGCGTAATTTAGAATATTTGAAGCCATGAATATTAATGGTTTGTTCATCGCCGCTGCTCTCGATTATTTGCCACTGCGTCTCGCCAATGACTTCGTATTCGTCTGCAATGAAAAGAAACGGTCTGTATACCTTACCGGGGATAGCTGTTGGGTGTAGGTGGTGGCACTTTGTTTGCTTTCACATTTGTCGTTACAAATATCATTTAAAGAAATATCCCAAAATTACTAATTGAAATAATATTTACATTACATTGTTAGTTCCAATTGTACCTAGTTACCTACCTAAATTTTTTTTGTGAGGGGAAAATCATCAAATGACTTCTCCCGCCCAGGGTAGGGCGGGAGGGAGTGTCAGACTCTTACTGACTATAAAAATCCCCCTGTTCCTTCTCCTGCTCTGGGCCCCTCGGCCCAATGAGGCACCTACCCCGCAACCCCGGCTGAACATCAGCTCTATAGGGCTTCGTCTGTGGTGGCCTATTGCCTCTTTGAGGCGGGCGCGGAACCTACCTACATATATCTAAAAACTTTTTACAAATACATTTCTACAAATTTAGGTAGATACCTACAACCTCTTATATTTTTAATTTGCGTAAAATTCATTCCGATTAGAACTTACAGGTGTTCCAGTAAATTCTCTACAGATTGATAAGAAGTAAATGTGCTTTAAAAATGTATGTTTGTATAATGCATGACATGACAAATTGCAGTTGCCTACCTATTATTCCATCGTCTTAGAATTATTTCTATTTATTGCTACTTATTTATTTGTGATATTTATCTACCTGGTTGGAATTTAACTAAATTTTATTTTTAATACACCAACACTAGGTTTTTCTCCTATTTCATGAATTCATTTACAATCCAAATTATAATTTCACATATACACGACACCCAGAAACAGAACTACAATTTGTGGATCACATAAAGGGTTGTTCCGTGCGAATTAGAAACTACGACAACTTGCGCATACAGTCTAAGTTCATAAGCTCAATGAGCATAAACCGGATTTAATTCATCGGAGAGATGACAGACCAATTAAAAGTATGTATTAACTGGACAAAGAATTTCATCCTACAGAAATTGAACCCGCGACACGCTACATCGCAGCTAGTCGACTGTAGCCGTTCCGCCAACTATGTAGTCTTTATTTACCTATTGTTTACAAGAGTAGGTATTATTTTTACACATAAGGATAATAAATACCAAGTTCTTTATACGACGCAACAAAACCAATTTACGATGAGTAGTACTATCATGTTGAATCATATTAATCGATTTGATTAATTTTAAAACCGTATATTACTTTCCTTCGATTAGATAATCGGATTATTAAAAAAACATCTGTGTAAATACGACTAATTATTTACGATGACACATTACGTGTGTAAAATAAAACGGAAACGATTTAAATATTTGTTTGTTGATATTGTTATTAAATACCTATTTTACAGATTTTTTGGAGAATTCATGGTAAATCTAGAAAAATAATGTTGTACTTTTTGTATGGTATAAAGTGCGACAAACTTCTTATCAGTGAGCAGATTTTTCTAGAAGGTGTTCAATGTTTCTATTTGTAAACTTTTCAAATTCGGATCGTTATTTTTAGCTTGTTGTTTCCAATATCCACCAGTACAGTAACTTAAATTAAATGAAATGCTATTTTATGCGTTTTATCAGAGCTGTAAGGTAATTTATTCAATCATCATCACATTTAATTTTTTTATTAGTGATGGGCCTGATGTTCAACCAAACATTAATACTTGGTGCATGCCAAATGTATTATAGAATATTTTTCTGCCACTACTCTGTTAATTTTCAAGAAAAACACACAATAATCAACTACGGAAATCACAAATATTAATTCAACAAACCCTAAGCGACTGCCAGTGTATGCATACCTATTGTTCTTGTCTCAAATTACCACACTTGAAAGGCATTAATATAGGCAAAATAATATTTTAAATTATACATAGTTAAGTATTTAGATTTAGGCTCTGTAAATTATTTATTTATTGTTTGTTATTATAAAATAACAAGCATATTTTTTATTTTTATTAATATTAATTTCAATATAATTAATTCAGATAAAGTTCTATGGAATCAACAATGTAGAGATGTGTAAACCTGATAATTGCAGAATTTAACTGAATAAATTGGCGACACAATCGACCCATTACACTTTTGTAAACATTTTGTCCCATGTCATGAACAAACAATTAGACCACCCATAAGCAACACTGTCTTCTTCCTTTTATCAAATATTTAGACATAGCTTACAGTAAGGATACATCTTTTTGTTTCCTACATAGATTCATATAATGTAGAAAATCAAAAGATGGCTAAAAATAAGGGAAAACTGTGTATGGGTTTCTTTAAAATGTAGTATTCAGAAATAAAACAGTTCATGAAATACTAATGTTTAAGCATAGTTGCTTTCCATAAATCTGCTTTATGCAAATAGATATTAAGTGGTAATTTTTTAGTCCTTATGAATCAAATTGTATATTAGTGATATAATGATTAAATATAATAATATATAAGCATGACAACTTACAGTTACATTATAATTAACACAAATGAAACATGAAACAAATATTTCCAGCTAAGAATGTGTAAAATGTGTATGTTAGCATTCTTTTTGCAAATACAATACTTACCAAAGGACAACTAAAATTATTACCAACATTATGCAAAAACAAAACAGTGCAAACATAGTGCTATCACCTCACATTTAAAAAGAAAAACACAATACATATCATGTAACTAATAAAAAATTGTGGTGTTACATCGATTGTGTTTTTATTTTTATTCCAACAGTATCCCCGACAAAGCATTTATCTTAGATGATTATGTGGTGAATTTGCAACATAGACATATAATATTCATAATATAAAAGCAACAGATTTTATGATAAACATGATGGTGCAAATGTCTTTATGGCATAGTCAATAAACATCTTACGAAAGAAAGTAATTATTAGTGAAAATTAGACAACATTAAATACAAATACCTGTTTTAACCGGTTTAGTCTGGTTATAAAGGTGTATGTAATTATGGAATAATTTAAAAGGCAATATGCAAGAAAGCATGGTAAAAACATGTGAAAAATATATAGATTATCTGCATCAAGAACAAAAGGAAAACACTGACCTGTAGGTCTTAAGTTGCTAGTAAAAAATAAAATACAAAGATATTTGTTTTTTAAATTATGATATTATATCTCTTAAGTAATATTACAGCATTGTATTAATTGAGTGCAAGCTATGAATACCTAGTCTGTTACACACTGTCCTAAATATTGAATAACAGCTGTCAAAGTGTCAGATTTTTTTATTTTATATCACAAATATAAGAAAAAATATTATTGTAGTTTTATGACCAATGTTTCATTATATTGTGAAACAATCAATAAATTGGTGATTCCTTGATCTGGAGTTGATTGATGATAATATAGCAACAGATATGACATTGGAAAAAATAAATAGCAAATGACTATTTTGAATGAAAAACATGATTGAGGTAAGCTATGAAAATATGCCCTAAATAATGGTAATGGACACCTGCCTTCAAGAATATGCACCAACATCTCCAAGGTTAGTTACAGGTGATTTGTCACTGAGAACACTTGCACACTGATAGAACCTTCTACACCATAACAGACTTCATACTAGCACATGGTATTTATTATAAAACTGAAATATGAATTTTAATTTGTTTATGTAACAAAAAATATTGAGCCTGACATGTAAATGACGGCAGTATTCTTTCTAAAAAAGAACAAAATTGAATAATTTCTCTTGGCACATTATAGCTACGTAAGTAATTAATTAATAAGTTACTGGATATTATGATGTAATGAACTAATAATGATTATCAGGTTATTTTTTTTTGTAATTTAATGTATTTTACATGGTATTATTCTATTTTTTATGAGTCACACGATATTTAATCAAGTGTACAAGACTTACCATTGGCAGCGCAGGTATTATTAATGTTCGGCATTCCCGCGAAAATGATTATTAAGGTTTATAACACAAAAGAGTTAAGGCATATTACTTAGATGTTATTTAATTATTTTTGAGTAACCGGTGCTACCTCATCGCAAAATATTTAAGGTTTTTTTGTTGAATTATCCGCACCACTTCACATCACACTTTGCTACGAATGACAGAAGTGGATGAATTAAAAATTGATTCATTCATAGATTTTATTATGTCAGTGTGGAATTGTCTCTGGTTTTAGAGCTGCCTTCACTGCCTTTGCTTGCGTGTCAATCTTGAGAAACTCGACTAAAGTTTTTATTTGTATAAATAAATATGAATTATTTAATAGTTCAAATAAGGCTTTGATTTGATTTTTTGATTGACATAATATACTAATTAAAATCGTTGTTAGTTTTCATTATTTGTACATGGCAATTAAAAATGTAATTTTTAACATCTGAAAATTCGAGTCTTTGAAAACAGTTCATAGATGGCATTAGGTTGACTGACAAAACACAAAACGGATGTTATTGATTTGGCGCGAACCTGCGGACAGTACGATGACGAACGCGAATCGTTTAAAATAAATATTTATTAACAGTAGCTAAGCTTAAAATATCAAAATGCCTCACGGAGTGTTTGCAAAAAAGAGTGACTTTTTAGAAATTGGTGAATACAATTTTACGTGGCCTGGTGAGAATGGAACTTTTCATGATTTTGGCTCTGTAAATTATACAATGCCGTCAGGTAAATTATACATACAATTGTAATATATCTCATTTTAAAAAGTGAATAAATAACACGTCTATAAAACCCGCAGGACCTTGGTATTGGCCGTGGTGTCCACTTTGGAGAACAACACAACATCCACTCTTTCAGGTCAGTAAATAAATGTAAATGTAAGAACAGACGTAGAAATTGATTATATTCCTTTAGATATGCCTCTTGACAGTATTACACTATGAAGCTATATAAATAAAAATAAATCTGAATACTATTTTATTTTAGCTGTCTAACATGCTGTTCGTGGCATCGTACTGTGCTCCTAGTACGAAAAAAGGTCAATTGTGGATGCACACTATTTTAATATTTGGTAAGACTTTAATTATACGTTATTATTTGATAAGACTATGTTTTCTGAGTGTTTTAGTTTTATGAGATACTTCGATAAACGCACAGAAGTTTTACCTGATGGCAATCAGCGTCACCGATAGACCCATGGAACACTCTAGTGTTATTACAAGTATGTTGCCTTTTGGGGATTGTAAGGAATTTGAGGATTGGGGACTTTAAATAACTTCACTCACACGATGAAACAAAACGCGAGCGTTCGTTTCGAGCCGGTTATCTGGGAGGTGGTATATCCCGGTCAAGCCCGTCCAAACGTAGCTTACCATCGGGCGTGATAGCGTCCAATTATCTGCTCTTTAAAGGCAAAAAGGCGTTACCTGGTTTCTCAACGTCCCGATCCATACGTAAATGCTCTTTAAGTAATTTCAGCTAACCTTCCCTCATATCTGCTAAATTATTTCATCATTTGACTGACGCCCTTTCCCTTTCTCACAGCGTTCATGCTATATTCAATATGGGCATGGCACGTGATATGTTCACCTGATGCCTTCTCGTGGAACTTTGGATTTGTGTTCCTGAACCTAGCACAAGTGGTCTACTTGGTTTACGAGATGAGGCCTGTTAAATTCGACCCTGAATTAGAAGAGGTTTATCATACACTTTTTGAACCGTTCAAGGTAATTTATTGTATTTTTTGATATTATGTTTATATGTTTGTATGAAGTCTCAGGAACAACTGTTTGTGTGATCCACAAACAATTGTTCCGGGTCTGGGTGTGATTTGTATGTTAAGTTGTATTTTGTTTGCAAACGCACCCACGACACAGGAGAAAATATCAGCGTGGGGCAACGTTTTATATATATATAATACTGGTTTTTATAAAAAAAATGAGGCGAATTTATAAAGAAGTAACAAATAACAGTATCTCGACTTCTGAAGTGAAGTTAAAGTTGCTACCTAGCGAAAAAACTACTGGACTAACTTCGAAACAAGTCAAAGTTAGGTACTACTGAAAAAAAAAACAACACTTCTTTGCTCTTTACTCTTTTGCACAGACTGCAAATCGGCTACTAAGTACTACGATCTTACAGAAGGACATTTAAAATGAGATACAATTAAAATGCGTAGAATTTGTTTTTATGAGATAGGTCGGCAAACGCGCATATGGATTACCTGATGGTAAGCAATCAGCGCTGACCATGAACAACCGCAACAACAGAGTTGTTATAAGTGCGTCGCCGACCTTTTGGAGAGATAACTCATATTTTACTACGCTTATAGCTTTTCTAGATTTTCCTGTAAAACTAATTGTTTACCACCACAATAGGTGTCAAGATTACAATTCAAACGCATGGTATCTCCAGACTTCGCTCACGTGATGTCCTTGCACGCAGGAGAAGCGTATGCAATGCAGAACTTAACAAAAACCGATCGGTTGGGACTTTTGCTCTCTGGAAAGGTAAGAAATAAAATTATGTACATATCACGCTACGTGACTTTTCGAACGAGGTTTAGGCAAAAGTGTAGATTTATTTAGATAGCTAGACTTAGAAAATGTAACAAATATAAAAATACTGTGTAATCTATAAATATTATCTTCATACATATTTATAATTCTACTGTACGTGTGCATGTGATTGAACTCCTGAACGGAGTTAAGAGTGGCGTCCTTGATGGCTTAGATTCACAAATCAGCCCGGTTGATTGGGCCGATTGCTCGAAAAAGCATGTGATCTCGGAAACGGGCCCTAACAATTTCGCTGAAATTAGATATGGGGGGATTTTCGGGGAGCGTCCGCTAGTTAGCTCATATAATGCTAAAATGACGTGTCCTACAACTTTATTTGTATTTTTGTTAATTTTAAAGATTATCCTAAGTATGATTCCCAAAATTGAGTTAGCAACGGAAACATTCTCGCAAAAATATTCTAAGCAGTTGTGAATACTTATGTACTTATATTGTAACTCGAAACTCGCTTTGTGGATCACTCTTATGGAGTGTTACGCAACAACAAGGAAAGGAGTGCTTAACGAACTTTCCAACCTTTTTTTAAGCACTTATAACAACTTGTGGTACCGAGGGTGAATGTACGCGGTATCCGGGGTTTTATTGGGTCATCTTTCAACCAAAAAGGCCTGTATTTTTAAACTCGACATTGTACCTTAATAAACGTTATAAGGCATTCGGGGTCCCTCAAAATATTCAAGAAAACCGAATTATAAATTTTCCGAAAGAAAGCTAATTTTCCTGCTTTCCATTAGTTTTGGGGTTGGGGTGGGCATTTTAAATAGACTGATTACATCCTACTGATTATACGTGACATTTTTGGTTCGATTTTTCACTTTTGGGTCTTTTGTCTTCTTAATTTTAGATTACTTCTTGATTTTATCAGAGAACTGGGTGTAATAAAAACATTTGAAAACATTTTCACAAATTTGAAAAGTATTGGAAACATTACGGACGTTTCCTTCTAGTTCGCAGTTTATCAGCTTTTAGAACGTTCGAAAATTAGGTATTAGCACGCTTAGATCTAATTTGAGACTTAAATCTACGTTTGCACTAGACTAATCTACCCAAGTCACAAAAATATTTTCGTATTTGTTACACAAAAACATGTGCTTACAAACTTCTTGCTTGAGATTATTAAAAAGGACTTAGTTTAAAACTTTAGAGCTCTTTTCATAGATAAAATTTTTGATCGTATTTGTGTACTGATTGCATAACACGCTATAGTGCAAAGCTAAAGTTATTATTTTTAATTAAATCCTGCCTTCTACCTTCTAGTTCTAGAATCAAGAAGGTGCTTAAAAGCGTAATTATAGCTAACTGCTTTCACCTTCGAAGTGCACGTAAACTATATAAATGAAAGCATGTTACGCCCTTGTAGTAGTGTTTAAACAATTTTTAGTCTATACGTGCAGTATTAGAAATGAATTTCGATGTCGTAAAGACAAACACGTGCCTACACGATGCCTTTAGATAATATTAGAGTAACTACATCGATATTCACTCTCCATACACCAATTTATCAAGCTGCCTTGTTAAAATGATCGTAAAATTCTTTCTGCGATTGAATGAAATGTGATCGCGTACATGTTGAGCTTTGAAACTGAATATTGTATTAGATGAGCCTCGTTAGGGAGTTGCTTGTAAAATGAGCACGTTTTGTCATTAGACAAATTTGTATTTATCCCATTTCCAAGATTGTAAGTAACGTAAGAATGCTAATGAAATAATAGGATAGGATTTATAGGTGCAATAAAATGTTAACATGATATGAACGAATTAGTTGTTTCGATAATATTCAATTTTAAATTTATATGCACTAACATTTATTAAAAAAAAACTACTTACCTATTTTGATTGATTCAGTGATTTACAAAACACGGCTCCCACACTTTTCTCCAATAGTACAATAAAATGCGTAAAGCAAACAGTTGTATAGTTTTCACCAACCTACTTTTCCTTTTGAAGTAAACAGAGAGCCTATTTGTAGGTTCGCACCCCGGGCCCGGATAATACACCCAAATCTCCTCTTACAAATATGTTGTTGGTTGCGAAAGCCGTTGTTAAACCCAACACAGACGTTTCTTTAATCAACCCAACTTTACACGTGGAAAAGGAAGCATTTTAAATCACCAATGTATGTTTAGTGGTCTAATTTCAACCGTAATTATATTATGTATCATTGAAAGCATAGCATTTCATTGAAATAATTTTTAACATTTCTTTCTTTAGGTACAGTTAATTATTAATTCGTCTTCACTAAATATCTGGCTGATGTTTGATTTCTCGATTGTTTTCACATTATTTTAGAAAGTAATAAATACTTTTTTCTAGGTTAACGTTATGAGTGGTCATCAATTTTTACACCCTATTCTTCCGTGTGAGTTTTTGGACTCTCCTGAGTTCGAATCGAGTCGAGCTACGATCGACGAAAAGTTTAAGGTGAGTTAATTATTAAGCTTTACAAGCTGTAATGTACTTAATACCTAATCTTATTTTAATATTTTTTTAATCTGATTTAGTCAAGTGTAATTCTATTCATCTAACGTAATTTCCACAATTATGTAAACGTAGATGTAAAGGCGTCTTATTTCACGCAATAATGATTTTGGATAGAGCGTCACCTTGTTAACTAAAGCTATGGAGCTAACTAACACGGTCGGGTGGCGGTCTGATGAGTTCATTACTCAAGGGGAGTGGAGTTCCTGACACTGTATAGTGTATTCGGTACTGAATGCTTCGAACCTACTAACCTATTTTAATAAATGTTACAAAAGGTTTTAGTGTACGTCCGTAAAGGTCGCTTTAATATCATGTTGCTCTTTTCTGTATTTTTGATTTTTTGGGGTTACTATCTGCCTATTTGTATTCATGTGGGCGATAATTAAACGTGGCACGCATAAAATAATTGTTGATTTGATAGGTAAAATAATGAACAGCCTGTCTCTCTCTCATCAATCATAACTACTTACTTGTTCTTTATAATAATTCTTTTATATACTTTTATTTCATTATGGACAAATTTCTCGAGGCAAGAATATCGTTTTGATTGGTAATAGGTTTCTATCTTACATCGGTATCGCCTTCGAGCAATAAAACTAAGCCGACGCCGGCGATCGTTACCCATAAAGTAGACAGTTTCGTTTCACGGGACAGGTCATAAACAAACTGCAACCTAAATCGCATAAATTTCTCGCGCGTGTCCAGCTCGAAACACCTCGTTGGCCGACCGATGCACGCCAATAACTCTACTCAAAATGTTTGCTGTGATAATACCTTAGCGAATTAGTTTCGAGGTGACGTAACTCATGACGTATCTATACTGGGTATCTGAGTTGCAATTAACCTATTTTATTGCCTCCTTTTAGTTCACATTATGTCATACATTGAACAGTTCAGACAGAATTTTATTATCGCTTAGTAATCTACATACCTACAAAAGGAAAAGATAATCTAGATATATTAACGCTTTTGAATAAATTTATGTCTAGGACCAAATAAAATTTATAAATCAAACCAATAGTACTTTTGATCCTTCGTACATCACTACGATAGCAAAATTTATAGAACGTCTTATCAAGCACATCAAGTCGAAAATTTTACTACGAAATGTTGGGTACGGAAAGATAAGAAGAAGTTTTATCACACCACTAGCTTACGCACTTGCTCATACAATGTGTCACGTATCGCTAAGTGATACATTTACGCGTTAGGGGCCGCGAAGCTGAGTCATAGGTATAACAAAGAAGTGATGGGATCGGTTACTAACTCAACCCTCAGCGCCATTAAGTAAAAAGCTTCCTTCATTGGTATTACGGCTGTGGAGATATGAGCGGTTCATGCACCGTTTACTGGGTCAACGTAGGAAGTCAGTTCTACAGTGGAAATCGAAATATCTGATTTCTAATTACTTTAACAACACAAATTAGGGCTGTGAAGTGTTTTGCCTCGAGTTAAAATACTACACGACATGAAATAGCCATATAAGATAATGTGCATGTAAAAATAAATTTGTTTTATCCAAAAATATAATAAAGTAAATTAGTTGTAGTATTATGGTGTTTTAATGGGAAACTATTATTTACATGAACTTTAGGTACGTACAAAAATGAATTATGTATCAGTATTTCCCGTCATTCTTTTTTCTTTTGCTGCCTCAAAATATCCACGTATCTTCTAAATGATTCCATTTCCATTCATAAGTATAATGATTATTATCAACACCGGGCTGGCTGATATTGTTTCCACGATTGTGATACACAATCGTTGATCGTGCTTCGGCATTACCTACCCCATTCCGTTGACCTAATTGTTGCCTGATATGGCTATATAACAACTGAAGTGGCTATAAATGCAAGAAACTGGGTTAAATATCGATGAAGTCTAAACAGTCTCGTAAAGACGTACAGAACTTGCCGAAATTGCTTCTTTAGCTATCAATCACATTCTCTTTTAATGTAGCAGTTTGAAATGTAGATTACTATCAATAAATCTCGATGTTTTATAGGGAATTCCTACGACAATATAATTATAATATTCTGAGCCATTTTGTAACGTGTATTGGATTTCAGCTTAGAAGCTTTTAGTTTGGAAGTATGTCAATAATTGAGGTGGCTCAAAGGCTTTGAACATGCATGTTGCCTAGAAAACTGGATATTGAGTCATAGTACGGACGGCAGCCGTGGAACGCGTCTTGTTTTCATGCATATATGCATACTTCGCGTAAGCGTATTGTTTATATGCACCGTGTAGTTCTAAAAATTTGAATTTAGTCAATGGTTAATAAAAAAATTACACGTCACGTGAAATATTAGAATCCACTTTTATGATTTTTTATTAATGTCGAGCGTTGATTTATTATTAATATTGGATAATCGTGCTTATACTTCCCATTTTACTGAATGTCATATCATCATAATAATGTATCACGTATTTAGTTGGATAGTTTATTAAAATGGCTCTCCGCCCAAACGTTGTGGCCGGCACTCATCAAGTCCGGTAATAGCTTTCTTTCTTTACACAGCCGCGATAACAGCCCACATTATTATGTAGACGTATGGTACAATGACATGCTGCTACATATCGCTTCAATTATTATATTTATCTTTTTTATTAGGAAATGCTTATGAAGTAGAATTAACTAGACTAATTTGGGTAAATTTTTTAAGTAATAAGTAGGTCGGCAAACGAGCAGACGGATTACCTGATGGTAATGCGTCTGCAATCAGCGCCGCCCATGAACAACCGCAACAACAGATTAGTTACAAGTGCGTTGCCGACCTTTGGGGAGATAACTCATATTTCATTAAGCTTTGCTAGATTTTCCTGTAAAACTAATTGTTCACCACCACAATAGGTGTCAAGATTACAATTCAAACGCATGGTAACGCAAACGTACACCCGCAACGGCGGAGTTACGAGTGCGTTGCCAACTTTTTATGGATTAGCTAGGTTTTGGAGATTTAGGGATTGGGGAGAGATCGGGGGAAGGGAAGGATTGGGCCTCCGGTAACCTCACTCACACGGCGAAACACAACGCTGTGGTTGTTTCACGCTGGTTTTCTGTAAGGTCGTGGTATCACTCCGGTCGAGCTGACCCATTCGTGCCGAAGGATGGCTCTTCCACAAAACAAAAATTAATTTTATTGTTTGGACCCCCACTTAAATTTAATTTCACTGTAACCTAAGAAAGCTTGTAGGAGCTTAGCTTCGGTAATACTACGCCCGCTACGGTAAGTGCTACGGCGTAGCACTAATCTAAGTAAAGACTTTTAAAAATAAAACTATCAATTAAATGCAAATTTTTTCGTTGAATGAGGACTGCATTATTCGCCGTCACATTTATGTATTTTATGTAACAACCACTGAGGAATAATAACCCCTATTTCTTATATCAAGATGTAAAGCATTTACTTAATAACTTTCTTTTATTCTAAAACAAAGGTATTTTACTCAGGTGTCGATAGTAGCTGCGTCATCATGCCGCTACGTGTACTGGCAGCGGAGTTCTTTGGAATATTTGTTCGTTAAGGAGCCGTACCTCGCGTGCGTAGTGACTACGTTGATAGCACGCGATATCACCACCAAGTTGTACGCTATGAACAATAAGATCGTCACTGAGAGAGGGTCGCACCTCGACATCAGGTTGCCAAGCATATCGCACGCACTTGCAAGGAGTCCGCGCAAACTTCGTGGAGCAAGCAAGCTTCCACCTCCGACAACCGTTCAACCAGTACCGCCTGAAAAACGTCCCAGTGAGTATGACCCAGTTTTTGATATGATACTTTTTTCAAGAACATTTCTCTAAATACATTCCTAAAGTTTTGAAGAATGGCATGCAGTATGTATAACTGAATAATTTATAGTTCCTATAAAGCTGTATTCTTTTTATATTGTCATTCAAGGCACGTGGAACCACGTCTTGCAAAGGCATTTATTATTCATAATAAACTTTGTACAACGTTTTAGACATTGCATGAGGTGAACTCGTAAGAAACTAGAGCTATACTAGGAGCCTCTACGGTTGCATACATTTTAAATGACACCTTGCTTCCAAAGCTGCTATAACTGGCATTAACTCAATACTTTAGTACGGCACCCGATCACAGGATACAAGGTTGCAAACACAGTTTACACTTAAAGAGTTTTCAAACATTCATTTTTAATGTATGCTAAGTGGACTAAAAGCCGCTTAGAATCTGTATGGTTGTTGGTTCTTGTTATTTATCAAAAGGGAATAAGGTTGTTATTTGCAGTAAATATTCATTTTAAATTTTACATACAGTATTTGATATGAGGGAAACAAATTTTATAAAGGAAAACGAGATGATAATACGCATTAGCACAGAAGTAAAGTAACAAAAAGTTTTTTTTTGTATGTTATAGTTTGGCAATTTCCTGATGGTAAGTAATCGGCGCCGTGGCACCCACAGCACTACATAAATTATGCCTGCGTTGCCGGCCTTTTGGTAAATAGAATTTCAGAGATTTAGGAATGGGTGAGGGGAAGGATTGGGCCTCCTAACCTAACTCACACGACGATACACAACGCTGTGGTTGTGTCACGCCGGTTTTCTGTGAGGCCGTAGTATCACTTCGATCGACCCATTCGTGCCGAAGCATGGCTCTTACCCACTTAAAGATAACAAAAAATTCCTTCACAGATTGTTGGAGTCGTGAAACGGAACCTCTAACTACGGCTGTTAAGCGCAATTGCAACCCAACGTATAATGGAGGTGATGAGGAATTGATGCCGTTAGCGGCTCACGAGGCCCCGGCTGCATCATCTGATGATTTGTCAGTAGCAGATAGCTGTCCTGACACGTCTTCCAAGTACCATAGCTGTGAGGCCGTGGAAACTGACGATGAACTCCGACATTAGTACATCATTCATTATCAAAGTACATGAGTAAATAAATAAACAAAATATTTCTTAGGTTGTAATTTTGTTTAAATACAGATGACACGTGAATGACCCAACTCTGAAGAAATCGAAGTTTTTTTAACAAGGTTATTATTACTCTCTTAGAACGAGCGCTTTATGAAAATAAGACACCAAGCAATCGCGCGTTAGGTGCATTGCTAGAACAATTTTCATTTTTTTTATTCAAAATGCGATTATAACGTGTATGGAATAAGGTTGATGATAGTTTGAAATAATTTTTACTAAACCAAGTAGGGATTGTGTATGGTGCGTAAGACCAAGACTGATGGTGAAGTGAAGCGTATGTAAATGATGGTTGATTTTATATTCGTATTTCATATTTAATTCTGAATATTTTTCTAAAGAAGATAATGTGATAAACTTATAATATTTTAGTATTGTAATAATATTGATATCGTTTTCATTATAACATTACTGGTAAATATTTTTTATTATCATTACCAATTGTAAATTACCAAAAGTTCCATTATGATCTCTTGTCTTTGATGTATCGTGATATTCGTACCTAATGTATGTTAAATGTTTGTCCAGAACATAGAATAAACGTTGTTGAGTAAAAAACAGTTTTCCTTATTTTGTGTATATCTTTCATCCCACAAATACAATACTAGCAACGGGAAATTGGTAGCGGAAAAACAAACTGTTGTTTTTCCCTGTAATGTTTTTTTATGAAAAAGACATGACTGGAAGAAAATTGCTCTAGCCGTCTTAAACAAATAGCTATCGCTTTGCACCTTGTTTTGAGTACTGTAAATTGTTAGAGATCCTTATCATTATGGTAAAATGAATGTGCAAGTTTTATTATTTGTTAAGGACGTTACACTGAAAAGTGACTGTAGTATACCAATCTTAATCACAAAATAACCGTCCACGTAATAGTAAGTATAAAGTACAATTTCACCTCGAAGGGCTATAAAACTGGTTATATAGCTTCATTATAAGTGGGCATCGCTTTCCCGCTCTATCCCTTGTCCAATCAATCAACGGAACCAATCCAGTTATCGCGACAATGCACACAACTCTACGGATATTAAGGCGACCGTTGACATTGAAGTGATAACAGAATTATACGACTTTTGGCACCACCAAATTGTGTTAACTGATTTGCGTGCTCTTTGTATTACTTTGCTTAAAGTTAAAATAGAGATGGATTGGAACTACCGTAACATCATGCTTTATAATTTACAAAAGGTGGCCCATACGCAGAGTAGTTAAAACATTCGGTTCACTAGTTACGTTATGCCAGTTAAAATTTGATAATAAAACGTGAACATTTTATTGAAACACTTAAATCATATTAAGAATTACCTAGATCGGAAATCGAGAACGACCTGCAGTAACCGTATTTCATTTATTGTATACATAATTTAATTATTGGTAGAATCATATTGAAAGCCTTTGCGAAAACAACGTCTTGGTCACTGACAGGAAGTTTGAGTTATGATTCGAACCAAATACTGCAGCACTGTGCCAAATCACTAATTGGAACTCCTTTTCACATAAACTTCTCAGCGGCAACGTTACGGGGAAGAAGTGGAGCATAAACTCGGTGTCCAAGCAATACCTAAATCATGTAAGTAAATTTATTTATATTTATAGCTAGAAATTCAGAATGTACGTTTAATTTTACAATTCTCTTTCCAATCCGATCTCGTCAGAATGACTCGATCTGGACGAATGTAAATAACATATTGTCAATTTTTTATTCCACGAAGTTCCGTTGGACGAAGTAACTATAAGTAAAGCGGTAAAACCTAGTAGCAGGTTACCTATATTCTTTTACTCGTCAAATCATAATAAAATTCCGTGTAATGCTGTAATATTTTAAGCCTTAAACTACGTACGTCTATAAAACATACCGAGTTCATACGTAACAAACTACGTACCAAGCCAGAACAAATTGGCTGAATGTTCAAAATAGATGGCATCAGTATAAAACTGGTAGGATATCGAAATCAATATTGCAAGCTTTGCGCTCCACAGACGGCTAACTAGTTTTGTAAAGTGTACTTGTGTTGTCCACCAGCGGGAAGTTCGCTCAACGAGCTAAATAGGTCTTTAACTATCTCTGAAGTATAAGTTCATGCAACAGATGGATATATAAAATTGTTGTTTCGACTCCATTGTCCAAGTCCACTTTAAACTTTGCTATTTCGAATTTATCTCAACAAAGAGCTATGACAACGACATTCAAGCGGAAAATATGACATGGAAAAGTCGTACTCCGATTTCTAATCCTTTGCCATCTGCGGAATTAAACACGTTTGCTGGAGTCGTTTGGCTCTCAACCTGCGCCATGATGCCAGCAAAAGCAGCAGATATCCGTCCCGGTCTGCCAAACACTCTCAGCCGCAGATGCTGGTCTTGTAGCCAAATGAACCTCATCTAACTGTGCTGGAAGCGAGTTGGCGTTGCTTTTTGGCGGTAGGGGAGAGTGGGGGAATTGCGGACGCGGGGTAAATACGGACTAGCAAGTATCTACTCATTTCCTCCCCCCCGCGGCAGCCCGGTGTTGTCATCTGTTTCTTTCCGCCATTTTAGTGCCACGCAAAAAGTTACGACAGCCGGTTGTGCGCAGTTTAAAAGGTAGGTAAAATTAAAAAAAAAAGTGTATATTGATCTAATTTTTTGTGTTTTTTAATACGAGGCACAGATCTGTATAATAAGTGATGGTAAAAAGTGATATTTTCTATAGATAGCTTTGTCAATAGAGTTTGGATCGCCAATGTTTGTTTTTGTTGAACGTTTTCGTAACCTACAAATTTCTCTCTTTGATTTAAAAATACCCAGTTGGGTTAGTTACGGACAAGCCTAGCGGGGTAAATACGAACGTCCGCAATTACCCCTAATTCGCTAAACTATTATGAAATTAATCAATAACTGCTCATTTTTAGATGCCTCGGAAATATATAAGAAAAAAAGAACAATCATACACCATCGAATCATTACAAAAAGCTGTGGAAGAAATAAAAGACCAGAAGATAACTTTTCGTCAGGCGGAAGAAAAATATGGTATTCCCAGAGCTACTTTGTTTGACCAAGTGAAAAAAAGGCAGGGTTTCTACTTTACCAAAGAGAGGTAAAAAAACTGTTTTTAACGAAATACAAGAAAACGAATTAGTTGATTTTATTTTAAAGTCATGTAAGGCTTTCTTTGGGATAACAATACCTACTCTAAGAAAGATAGCTTTCGATTTTGCCACCGCAAACAAAATAAAACATAATTTTAATAAAGAAACTGGTATGGCAGGAATGGATTGGTATTACAATTTTTTGGCTAGACATCCAAATATATCACTTCGAAGGCCTGAAGCTACTTCTATAAATAGAATTACCGCATTTAATGAAGAAGAAACCGATATATTTTTTGTAAATCTGAAAGCTCTCATGATTAAATACAAATTTAAATCTGATTCAATTTACAACATAGATGAAACTGGGATTAGTACGGTACAACGCAATTCCAGGATTCTTGCACCAAAGGGGCTAAAACAGGTTGGAAAATGTACCAGTCCAGAACGTGGTTCTTTAACTACAGTCGTGAACTGTTTTAATGCTGGAGGCTCATACATCCCACCATTTTTTATCTTTAAAAGAAAAAGGATGAATGCTCAGCTTATGAAAGATAGTAATAGCAACATGGTAGCTTGTGTTTCAGACTCTGGTTGGATCAATGAATCGATATTTGTTGACTGGCTCCAGCATTTTAAAGGATTTGCTAAACCATCGGCTGACAATCCCGTTTTGTTAGTTTTAGACAACCACGAGAGCCATATTAGTCTGAAAGCTTATGAGTTTTGTCGTAAAAATTTTATCCATGTTTTGACATTGCCTCCACATACATCGCATAGAATGCAGCCATTAGACTTGACCTTTCATGGACCACTAAAAACAGCATACAATAGAGAATGTGAAACCTATATGGTAAACCATCCTGGAGCTAAAATTACAGCATTTGATATTGTTGGTCTTTATACAAAAGCTTTTAACCGATGCTCGTCTATTGATAAAGCTATAAATGGCTTCAAGAGTGCTGGAATTTTCCCAGTTGATCAAGATAAATTCAAGGGCACTTTTGAAAGTTTCGGTGATATAATTACATCAGAAACTCCATTTGATACCAGCCATGTGAGTCCTGATCATGACAGTCAAAGAGAGTTTCATAGCGAATCTCAAATTAGTGATGCAGCTAATAACAGTATTCCTAGTGAAGTAAGATCTCAACAAGAGTCTCAGCCCTCTAGTAACGAAAACATTATTTATGAATCCGTTCCCAATGTACCTGATCAAGACGAAATAAATGAGAATAATGCTATAAGTGAAGCTGATTTAAACCAATCTACGACAAGTCAAACAAGTCAATCGTCATCAGTACCGCTTAGTGATTTATTAAAGGTCCCAACTCTACAAATTCATCGTAGCAAACGGGCAGTAAACAAAAAGCATTCCATCATTTTTACCAGCACACCGGAAAAAAAGAATCTAGAAGAAAAGGAACAAAAGAAAGTAGACAAAAAAAGAAAAGCTCGAGAAAAAGAAAATAAAACTACATCTAATAAGCTAAAAAAGTCAAAACTTTCTACAGGAAAAGGATCAAAGGGTGTAAGAAATCTGAATAATTTTGAAAATGAAGAAAATGTTGATTACTTTTGCATTTATTGTCAGGAAAAGTACAGTGACCCACCCGCCGAAGACTGGATTATGTGTTCAAAGTGTAACAAGTGGGCCCATGAGAACTGCACTGCAGGAATGTCTTCTAAAGGCTTTACTTGTGATTTTTGTCGTTGATGTGGACCTAGTCCGTAAATACCCCATGCTGTCCGTAATTAACCCAGGGTCCGTCCGAATTTACCCCGAGCGCTACGGGTAATTACGGACAGACAAGGTTTTGTTTTTGCTGAAAATATTCTATTTGTTGATTGATCTCGTTTAATAAGTATAATTGTTTTTGTAGATGTATAAGTAAAGATTAATAATTAATAAAGACAGACTGATTATTACTGATAGTACGAATGTTGTGCGTTATTTCCCTTCAGCGTCCGCAATTCCCCCATCCTCCCCTATCACCTAGCGTGGGCTAACTATGCACATGTCAAACGCTAATTAACTTTCTTTTGTCTCCCGTCTGTGACTGGAATGTCCTATTAGTCATTATTTTATCTGGTTCATCTTAAAAATAATAAATAGTCCAATTGTCTACATACGCTACAGTTATCTAAAAATATTTACTTAGATTAGAGATAGACGTTCTATTCAATGTTTTCCCATTAATATTTAAGTATTATTCTTTTTTTAATATCTATGCTTAACATACAGTTATACCGGTTTAGTTTCCTGCCAGATATATTAAATTAATACTTTTAATATTATTAATACCGTAGTTATGTTATGATGCGGTGCATAAAATAATGAATGCGCTTGCCTATTATTTTTATCCGTGGAACCGTAAAGAGACACACTCCACGTTATTGATGATGTATCTTCAACAGCTATTGAAAAGTGTTATACATTTTTTTATATTTAATGTCATTTATGTGTGTGTACATGTTCTCACTATATTTACATGTACCTACCATATTATAAGTTGTTATACATTACTTAACTACCACAATTCTCGCGTATTAAGTGTTTAGCAGATAACATAAAAATAGCGTTATTTTATTTTCAGGGTGGTGCGGACATAAATTCTGGCATACAAGTTCATACAACATATTAGAGCTAGTCACGCGTCCCGCCGCTTGACCAGTAACAATGGCATATGTACCTATTTGTTGAACACACTGTTGAGCTTACATTTACAGACCGCGCCTACCTACGGAGCGATTAAAATTAATTACTAAACAATCGGGGAGCACAGTTACACGGCTAAGTTATTGCATAATTACAGACTGAAGGACGTGATTGATGAATTAGCCAACAGACTGTGTGTTGAGTAGTTGCCTACCTGCAACTACTAAATTAATGACAACGTGTGAACATATTCAACTACTAGCTACTCTCGCGCGGTTTCACTCGCTGCTCGGCTCCATTTAATCGCAGCGTGATGTTTTAGCCTATAGCAAACATTGTATCTATCAGTGAAAGAATTTTGGAAATCCGACCAGCGGTTCCAAAGATTATCCCCTACATACAAACTTAAAAATTTTACCTCTTTATAATATTAGTATAGATTTACGTCTAGCGAGCAAAGTTTATAAACAGTTCGACTTTATACTTATAGAAGGTACTGATAGACACTAAAGTATAGTAAATACCCGTATTTGTTTTGAATTTTTTGTGTATGCAAGTAGACAGATGTTTTACAATGGTTACGTAGATATTAATTATAGTAAGTAATTAGGTAAGTGTGCAAATTACTTAAATCGTATGTTTAGTGTGTGTGTTTCAAATCTATATCCTTGTAAATCTACACCGAAAATAATAATTTCAAGAATATTTCGTTAGCGTTTTCTAATACAGCCACAACAAATGCAATGTCTGCGGAAAACTTCTGAGCTCTCTGCGAGTGTGTAAGCTGACATGTCTATTAAAGCTATATCAAGTTGTCGACTTTGATACCGCTTTGCAACGACCGTAATTTGACGTAAACTTTGGCAAAGACTACAAACGTCTAAGATTGCGATATTTCGATATTCAGCGTTCATTCGCATGAAAAGTAGGTAAAGTAAACTTGTTAAAGCAGTGCAAACGTGGGCTTACCTTCCAAAACGATCGATTTTAGTTACCTCGCACATAAACGGCCTAGATCAAAGTTTACCAATTACGATACTTACTCACCGCTTACCACCTACGGTTGATTACTTGAGTTCGTTCCAAACGAGAGATTTGGATAAGTGGTTATTCATTATGAGTAATACATTTTCAGAAGTAAATAAAATGCCAACCAGTGTAGTTCTTGGGCGGCCTTTTCATGATTGATGAATGTGCGAACGGCTGGGTGTGTTATTAAAGGCCTTACTGCGTTGCTTTCATAGATGTGAAGATCTTGGCTAACGCACTGCCCTTGTTGGTTATAAACTAATTAACCGATGTGATTAATTTTTAATTACACTGAAACGAAATTTTCTTAAGAGATATAGATAATTTGGAGGAAGCGGTAATTACGAAAGAATCGTACATCACATTTTACTACACGATTACTTATGTAGTTGATTACCATAACTAGCAGAGCTGCTAATTATTACAATGATGTTCGAGAATAATTTGATGTTTAGAGCGAAAGTGACATCGCGTGTCTATTAGTATCATATCATGACACAAACAACTTAAATTAAATGAGAAGTGTTTCAAATTACATGTTTATACGGCATTCGAATTAACGGCAGCAATTAAATTATTTTTTAACTTTTTTATTTATTCTGAGTGTAGTAAAACATTTTAACTTGAAAAATAAATGTTCGTTTGTAAATCAATATCTTATTTTTAAAAGGCAAGTTGCATAGTTAGTCTTAGATATCGAAAATTAAACCAGTCTAGATATTTAAAGAATCTTACAGCGGTTTTAAAGACTATAAACTAGATTGAAAGATATTTTGCGTAGTTTAAAGTACCTACGCATAATTAGTTAAATGGTCCCGGTGTCTCGGAAGTTATAGTGTCCGTTTCTAATCCACGAAAGCGTGGTTTCGAAAACTGGCAAGTATCAATATGACTTTTTCCGAGTTAGGTAATTTCTAATTATAAAGCTGATATTCTCAACCAGGCTTGAGCATGTGTGATTAAAGCTCCAGCCTTCTCTATGTGAGATGAGGTCTTTGCTTAGCAGTGGACACTTATAGGCTTATAATAATGTGATGAAAAACATAAGAGACGTTGTATTGAATCCAAAAAAGGGGTAGGTCGACCAAAGGTTTTAACCTCAGCTAGGTTGAAACCTTTCAAATAGGTTACACATTTTTTTTATGTAATAAAAATAAAACTAAAGTGTATATGAAAAATATTTTTCTTAAAGTAAGACGTCTGAATTCGTGAATGGTAAGTAAACAGACTAAAGAATAATTTCGTCGCGAATGAATTGAATGGAAATTCACACGACTCGGTAACGCAGAAGTTTTAATCAATATTTATGGGTTTGTTTTCGTATAAACGTAATCTAATCAGAACGTTCACCGACAATGGTGTTGTAGTGACTCGTCCATCTTTCTTTATCTAAGTAAATGAGCAGGCGACCTTACAGCACAAAGGTGACTCAACAAAGCGATAGTAAAAGATACGATCTGATCATGTGCAGGCCGGTGGCGTGGTCAAGGCTGGCCTGGCCTGGCACTAGCGATGCTTTCTTATCCACCACAGCTACGCCGCACTATTCTTGAGCATTACATGCGATTACCCACCATTTCAAACGTTATCTGATGGCCTATGGCGTTGCTAACAAAAGACCTCTGAATAAGGTTGAAGTAAGATCGATATGCTTGACCGTCTGATCCAATATAGAAAAGGCTCTAGCGTATGTTTCACGCTAATGGAATATACGCATTCTTAGCATATGCATATACTTAAAGCTTTTGAATACTATAGGTACAGAAACGAATTTAATACAATATTTCAGTAGACGGATCGATCAATCGAATTCCTTTTTTTCATATTTGTCTGTCTGTCTGCGAGTCTCGTAAGTACATAATATATGAAATATCTCAATATACCAAAACATTCGATATTCATTCCACTTCGGACAGGTTTTATTTCAGGAGGCAGGCTTTTAGGAGTACTTTATTTTTACCGATGGCCTTGTACCGAGCACCAAAACAGATAATAGGTACGAACACAACTTTACGACAATGCCAGTCAGTTAGGGTATTAAAAAATGCTGAAAATGGTTTAACCCTGAACCTCGCTACGTGCTTCAATGAAAACAGGTATATTTCGTAGCTATACATACACGCAATGTGTAAGTCTAGGTTGAAATATGGAATGTGTCGTCATGGTGTACTGGCATTTTATGTAGGAGATGCGAGAGACTGCGTCGTGGCTGCAAGATCCCGCATCTTGTCCACGTTGGAGAGCTGCCAGCCACTAATCGTCGCGCGGTTATACATTCAATCTCCGGGGTCGAATATTCCATTCGTATTATTAAAATAAATTCATAAATAGATAACATTAAATTTTGAAATACTGTGGATCTGGGTAAACACAACTTAAATTTCATAAACAGATACATAAATATGCATTTATTTTCAAAACAAGCTTGAAATGTTGGCAAGTAAGTAAAGTTAAAACATATAATTCATAGATAACGAACTTCCATAATCTCTTCCTTACACCGAGCGTAACGTTTTTACCTAAATTGTGATTCACATTTCTTACTGTAAATCTGGACCAATGCCGAAGCTCACCACTCGTGTCAATAATTCGTATAAACAGTAACACAAATTCGTTCAGGATATAAGAGAAAGAATAAACCCTGCGAAATGTAAGTATTTCTTCAAAGCTTTGTGTTAATGTAATTCCATCAGTGAATATTTTTTGGTACCACAGAATTAGATTTTCTCAGATTACCTTACTTAATTTAGTATCACCAGTATTTATTTCGCGTAAATAATATTTACTAAGCCTCGATATAAATGACTCAATTTCACAGTCAATAGACGAAACAATTGACAGGCTGCGGCTATCGGACGAGTTGATGTCGTACAATAATTTTATTGATAATATCTAAGTAGGTAGTAGCGAGATGGGAGTAAGGGTTGAAGCGGGTGTCGGGCGGCGGGGCGCATGGCGCGTGCGTGCGGCGGCGCCGCGCCCGTCTCGCGCGGAGCGGTCGGAGAGTGAGCGGCCAGTCAGTCGTGCCGCGCGGCGCCGCGCTCCATCGCCGCCGAGCGCCGAGAGCGCTACATCACGCGCCCCGCGCGCTACTATGCGACTCGCGTGTCGCGCTCACTCGTGTTGTGGTGCTTTATGATGGTACGGCATGAGAGTGCCAGATATGCGGACGTTCCGTGACAGACGTGCAGCTCAACTCGCCACCGCCACAAGTGGGCGGAGAGACGGGACGCGTCCTAGGCTGCTCAGGTGAGCGGCCCTTCGCATCTCACGCCGTTGCACGCTGGCTAAAGACGCTGCGATCTCGGGGTCGATAAGGCACTTTGCTAGCTAGACTCGAATGAAAGGTACATCGTAAGTTTAACGTAGCTTCTTTGCTACGAAGTGCGTAGCCAGTGCTACACACGACGAAACGTAGCCGTAGCGCCATATGGTAATTTACATAGTGGTTTTATTCTTAAGCCCTGCCTTATTTTGGTTATATATATACATGAATCATCATAACTTACTTGTTTCTATTTAACCTTTACCAAGTTACTCGCCTTGAAAATGTGATTCTCAATGTGCTTTTACATCTTAATTTTACTGAGCAAAGCAATAATATTAAACCAATTCTGTGTGCTACAACGTATAGTATTGTTCTATCCGAGTCGCAATCTGTCAACCATAACAATAAAGTGAGATAGACACAATAGCATCTCAATTCAACCGAAAGAATCAATTGTACACACATCGGCACACGCGTATTTTGTCCAAACTTGGCAACGTAACTACTACCGTGTAGTTATCGATGTCATTGAATGACCAATAAAATGTAAATAAACAACTTTGTAGCGACGTCTTCAGATATGCACAGGTAATTTCTGATTGTTTGGGTCAAGCAGAGAGATAAATCTCGCTTTATTAAAATAAAGCACAGTGGTTTGGAAGCAAGATTTTATTCATATCGTTTGCTCACGTTACTAAATGCCATGGAGGCTTGTAAGTCAATAAATTCCTGGGCCATATTTGTTGGAGGGCGATGAATCGTGACTTGTAAGTCGTCACGCAATATCGGGGGTACAGCATATCTTGGAGGCGGAAAGGCTTCGAGCGACCGCCATCAATCTCTAGCCTCCGAAAACGACAGCTCGTACACACGATGTAATGGTGATTGAATACATTAACTATGTTTCTTCTTCGCCGCTTTATTCAGTGAACGTAACAGTATCTACAACTTCAGGGCCAACTCGAAGAAAATACGTTCGTATTCAAATACTTTACAGTACTTTATGTCAAATCGGTCTTAGGAAAACCCAAAGAAATGTAACTTTATCTCCCAATAACGAGTGTTTCGTATTTCTGAATAAAATTTTATAGAAGATCTCGTAACAATGTTTATGATTTCCGACAAACTGACGCGTCTGCCCGTGAACATATTTCGTATTAGGAAACTACTTAATCGATTTACATGAGTCCCTATGCTTTCCAAGTTTGACAAGTTTGATAAAAACTGTTTTACAGTATCACTGAACATCAGACAGCTAGAAAGAGATAGAACATCCACCAAATTTTTAAAAAGAATGTCACAGCGGGAATCTAGTAGGCAATTAATTTACGAAAATGCAATAAAGTTGCATATCTTGTTTCTGTGTAGGTCGACAGTTATATGCTGTGTATAAGGAGATATTGTGACTGTAGACGGCGAGACGGTCGCGACAAGCCGTCGCCACGGCTGATGCCAGTGCCAGGCTGCACTCACACACACAACATGTATACAAATACATCGCCTATAAATATATCTAGACACTGAGTCACTCACATATATACCAATTGTTTATTGAGATTAGTGCACTCATCTGAGAGGCAGTAGAGAAAATTCCCTTTAGAATTTAACCGATATCAGCTAAGCCATAATATATTTTCCAGAGTAAAAATATCTATACATTTCAAATCCAATTCCGTTCAAAATATCTATTGGTTCTCAAAATGACACGTTATGGCGGTGTTGCCAGATTTGATAGCAATCTTACCTATATTGGAACAATATTTCTCGTAAACCGATCTAGAAATTTCAAGCGCGCAGAAAATGTGTACGTATCGGTAACGTCGGTAACTTCATAATATTTGTGGCAACGTGTCGCTACTGTGTAATTTAACTGCATTATGTTTTACGACACCGCATGTTACTCTGACATAAAAGGCCTTATTTGGTCGGTATCGTATTCGTAACCTACATGCACGGCGAATAACACCAATAAAACATGTTACGGCTCCAAGCAAGGTGACCGTATCACGGATCGCGTTACCCGTGAGATTTTACTCCGGCGTTCATTTACCATTCTACACGTTTATGCTTTTGATTCTAGACACGTGTCCAAAAACTCGTTAAATGATTAGAACTTAAGTTTCATTCGTAATCTTATTTAAGGTACGTGATGATCCTAAGAGTAACAACTTAAAGACCATTCAACTGCGATTCGAGTTTCGTTGTAAATATCCAAATATTTTCTCAGATGTTTTATCAAAATATTTGAAATTAACGATAGAAATCGATTCTGAAAACCAGTTCGAATCACAAACTTGACATTGATGGATCAGTTGGCTGGCCAAAAATTATTAGTATAAGCCTGTTTATTCCCAGTGCAGGGAGAACCTTCCTAATCTCTATACACTTAGCGGATCAAAGGCGCGGGCTTAATGTTTTTTCTTATTGCTCGATGCGTTTATGAAAAGGGTTATCTTAACGGATATCATCGAATATTCACAATACTGATAGGCTGAAGAATTTGTTTGTGTGTGCTTATCTTCTGAATTACAAGAACACGCCGTTTAATAGACATTTCCACATAGAAATGATTTTATGCACTGGATTATTTCACAATCTCATTAAATCCAAAATTAATTAATGAAAACTATTTTTTTTTCAATGTCATACATTAATTGTATTTGCTTTGGCGCTAATGTATATTTGATGTATCATATAGTAACTGCCCGATAAAATCTCATATTGTTATTAACAATGTTGTATTAGGAATATTAATTGTCAATAATACAGATTTCTAAATGGGATCTTCTAAGTCAAGTTTGAACTAGCAGATGAAACAGCAACTAAATCATAACATATTCAGTTTTATGAGCACACGTCACGACCACTTTGTTTCCATGTGAGTTAGTTCACAGGCCGACATAATGGTTACATACTGGGGTGTAAATTTCCTTCTGTATACGTTACGCACTTTGCTAGTACAACTTCTGTTCAATGGGAAATTTTAGTATTGTTGGAGTGAACGGGACAACTATTTCAATAACGTACTGTGGAGCTGGCCAGCTTTTAATTAACTCTCGTGCTGAGCATAGTTATAATAGGCGCTCAGATAATAAAGAGACGACATACCGTACAGACATGCCCTTTCCGTAAATGTCGATAGAGGTAGAATGTTTTGCTTTCATCCAAGAGACCATATTTTCATTGTTTTAGAAGGTATTATTATATCTATTTATTCTTAGTTTGAATGTCTGAATTTTACATTCATGTCCTTGTGTAAACCACTTCTATGTATTTAAAATAAACTTTCTACATTTGATATGTTTCATTTTCTGATATAAGACCTTTGAGTCGGACTAAGATTATGCCAGTCTTATCATAGCCTGAGCATTTTTACGAACTTTACATTAAATTAATTGCTAGGTACTTAAAATTATAAACCAGATTCAAACAATGAGTCAATATTTGAAACTAATCCAACATTCTCATAATTACAAATTTATAAAAAGAAAAATAAACTGTAAGTAAACTGTATTTTTCCACATTTTAAAACAAACCTTAACAATTAAAACTTATAATCGTTTTTACAGTGTCATTTCGTTTCAAGTCAAATTAAGCACACACTCCTCCGTTTCAATTCACCATTGTTAGAACCGTAACGTACGAAAACCGGTACTTGGATGACATTTATCATTCTCATCTCGTGCCATATTGAGGTGCGGTTTACCGACACTGACGACCTTTACAGCGTATGTAGGTGCTCTAGGTCGGCTAATACAGCTGAGGATAATCCTTTGGAGATTACAGGCAACCCGGTTATGTATGCACACACATGAAGGGTGATGTAGGAATAGATAATGGGTATTTTGTAAAGACATTGACGTCATTACAAGAGCTTGTCAGTAGAGTAAAATGTATCGCCAATCGGCCTCGAGCAAGTGTGGTGATTAATGCTTGAACTTTATTCGTGTGAGAAGAGGCCTTTACTCAGTAGTGGGCACTTATAAGATGATACTGAGAGTACAATATGTTTGTCACTAAAACTACTTTCTTTCTGTGGGTGTCGTAAGAGTCCTGAGGAATATAAAATAGGAATATTAAACTGGCTGATTACTCTGAACTTCATCATCAGCCTTTAAGTGCTGCCCACTGCTGAACAAAGGCCTCTTCTCATAAGGAGAAGGTTAATGCATTAATCACCACACTGGCTGATGATGATAATTCTGAACATTAAAACTTCGATCTGCAATACGCCCGTTAGGCGAGAAAGCCACGTAAAGCTCTCTTATGTAGACGATTTCTATCGTCCAACAGCTGATTGACACGATTAGTTGATGCTAAATGTAGATGTAGAGCGGTTCTCCATAAGACCTTAACATTTATTTAACAAAACCATTATACTCTAGCATGTCATGTATTTAATAACATCAATATTTTATTGGATTGCTTGCTTGACAGGTTTTGATGTTTCAAAAACATAATTTCTGTTTCAATCTGCAAAATTAATGACATCATTAATTTTTGTTGAATTGATGTGCACAATTGCAAAGTTCTAAGATTGTTTAAGTAAAAAACTCACAGCAACAAAAAAAAAGTTAACATAAAACTTTTATATCCGTTTTAAAGAAATTAAGTAAAAATATAAAATATATTTTTTTACTGGATAACTAACGTATTGTCGATATTTTAATACGGCAATTACTGAACAATAACGTTAATATACCGCTGCATTTTAATTTATGATAAATTGACCCTTACTGAAATAAAATTAAATATCCGTTGTTTCCGTATGATATCATTTATTCCGTATCATTTAGGTTTATATTTATACCTACATAGTATACAGTGTATCCCAGGACCTTGATGACTTGTAGGAACCTCCACCTCTTACAACTCCTCTGGTTTCGCGGGTGTCCACGAACGCCGCCAATAGCTTTACTTAGGTCATCGTATTTCTCGTTCGCCGCTCGATGTTTGAAAAAAATGTTTAGTAGTTTTCGAGAAAACATTATTGTAAAAAACAAACATGTTGTTCTTTCATAGATCACTCTAATTTAACTTTTCCTGCAAGAACAACTTGATGTAATATTTATAACAAAATTAAATGTCAGCACTGACTATAATACAGTAGATACATCTTTGTCGGTAGACACTTTTAGAGACAACTGGTAAATTTTCAACTCATCGTTTTTTTTTTTGTATTGAGGAAACATTTTAGTTCTCGATTTCTAATTAAGATATAAGAATTTCGAAAGTCGAATTACCTTATAAAACTTTACCCGGCCCCGCGATCAACCCCAAACCATTATTCTCCATTATCGGGGTTGCGACACCTAACAGAGGTGCAGAAAAAGTATTTCTTATAAATCAAGATTTTTCTTTGTAACCATAAACCTGTAAGTAGTGTTAAATGAAATATAGAGGTAATAATTTGGGTAAGAAAAACTTTAATATTTAAATTTTCATACTTGAGAACAGTGAATAAAGATAAGCTGTAACATCTTGAAAATCGTGAAGCAGACATAGTACATATACATATATACCTACTATCTATTAAATAAAATTCTTCACAAACGCTTTTTAGGGTAGGAAATCTTCCAATGACTTGTCTCGCCCTGGATGGAGTGTCAGACTCTTGATGTAAAAATCCCGTTACGTCTCCTGCTCCAGGCTGGGGCCAGGCCAGCAACCCCGCTGCTTATGCCACCCCAGCAACGCTGGTTATGTTATATGATTCTGTAGTATTTCACAAGTGTGGGAGAACCATGCTTCGGAACGAATGGCTCAGCTCGACCGGAGTGATACCACGGTCTCACAGAAAACCGTCGTGAAACAACCACAGTGTTGTGTTTCGCCGTGTGAGTGAGGTTACCGGAGGCCCAATCCTTCCCCTCCCCCAATCCCTCCTAAATCTCCAAATCCCTAATCCCTAAAAGGTCGGCAACGCACTCGTAACTCCTGCGTTGCGGGTGTCCATGGGCGGCGTTGATTGCTTACCATTAGGTAATCCGTCTGCTCGTTTTCCGACCTATTAAATAAAAAAAAACATCACATATCAAATATGGTGTCGAAACTCAAAAAATACTGTTTCTAGAATGTATACTCGTATAGAAAAAATCATTGTTGCCCGCGGCTTTCGGCAGCGTGGGCTTTGGTTATAACGAGTTATCAACATCCCTGAGGAATAACTTCGATTTTTGAGATAAAAGGCAAGCCATTTCCTTCTTCATGACTCAAGCTGTATCTCCTTGACTTTTACTGGGCAAGCTAACTCAACCTATTCATGTGCAAAACTATAAAGTTTTGATCTTATAACCGCGTACATAAAATAAGTTTTTGCATCTACCATGACCTAGTTTACAAATCTTTCTAAGAACGGTTGTAAGAAGATGTTTTTGCTATGAAATCCACCATTATACATACTATGTGCAAAAATAATTAAAATAAATACATAAAGAAACGTAATAAGTGGACTGATTATGATACCATGTGTTTGTATAATGTGCGAGTGCAAGCCTTAAAATAATATTTTAACATTTATGATATTATAAAAATCTATGTTATATGCTACATAAAAGTCTATGTTGTCGATGAAGTAATTACATGCAGCTAAGATCGCTTGAATTAAATTGTATCACGAATACGAAGCAGTGCAAGTATCCTCTCTATCGAACGTTTGAATACATTGGAGCAGATTAGTATTCCTCCTTCGTCCTACAAGGACACAATGAATGAGCCTGTAACATCTTTAAATATTTTATTAGATTATTTTATGTCACATTTGAAATGGACGTTTACAGAGTTTACGATTCTACATATATATATATGTACTCGTAGTGTGGGCAAAGTATGGACTTCTTAGCGAGCGAAGTTGTCTGTGTTATTCGTTGGGGAAATATTTCAGAGACGTTGTCTTGAAAGTCTTCCAAAATGCAAATAGTTTCGGTCTCATGTATGTTAAAGTTATGAAACACGGATCCAAGTCTAGAAACTAACACTGCATTTACAATCGTGTTAATGGTCTAAAAATGATAAATAGAGATCATCTTTACGGTACGCTTTTGCAGGTAGATTTATATTTAAATGGAATGTGGCTTAAGCGAGTGTTAGTCAGTCGTATCCTCGCAATTCATCAGTCGGGCGGTACTCGTAACTAATGCAATTTAATGCGAATATGTTGATGTGGCGATAACAAGCCCCACGAGTGCATAAGGCGGCTGTCTGACGGATTCCTCGCCGTTGTAAAGCCGCGGCCGCGCCGCAGTTGTACCGCTGCCGACCTAAAGGCGGATCAAACCGATTCAGTGCCGCCTCGCAACTTGCCCGATGACTTAATGTGTGCGGAAATGTCGCGGATTACACGCCCGCCGGCCGCTGCATACTAGCTCAAGTTCCGTCACGGAATAAACTACTTCTATTGTTTTGTTTGTAGCTGTTCCGTTATGCAGTACGCTCACATATTTAGCGTTAACTTACGATCACTAAAACCAACCAACCATCTCGCTATAATAGCCAACATTGAAATAGCATTTAACTTGGTGTGTTTGAATTTTCTGAAAGAGATCTTGCTGTGCGTTGGTCCATTTCGCGCATTTTATTTGAAAAAAAAATAAGCATATTTTTCAAGAAAAATAAAACATGTAATATTAGTTTCAAAAACTTCATTTCACCAAACTGCCCGACGCAATGATTAACGAAATATTCTCATATAAGCCGGGAAAACTGTAAAGATGAACAAAAACTAATATCGAGAGAAGCGTGCACTGCGTAGCAACTAGCTACGGGACAAGGGCGCGTCTACGGATGGCTACGCCGTAGCACTTAAGTTTGTAGACAAAGCCTACGCAAACATATACACACTACAATGCATAACAATAAAGATTTAATTACATTTACGTTCAATTACTTATCATTGAGAATCAGGTCGTGTGGGTCAGTTCAAACAATAGATTCTTTGGGTCAGAAAATTTAATTATTGTTTGTTTCACTACTAAATATGTATGTATTTCATTAATTTATTTATTTATTATAAGGTAGGCTCACAGCTTATGTATACAAAGTGGTTTAAAGTAATGATTATAGGCCATATACATTAGCCAGTTACGAGTACACCAACATTCTCAAAATTATGCTTTTATACAGTCAAAATATATAGAAATTAATAATTAATCTCAAGAACTCAATCGTTTTAATTAAATTCAATTATTTCATTCAAATTATTTTATATGGTTCATTAATATTTTCATTTAAATTAAATTTCATGAAATGTAAGAAAAAAACACTAACTTAACATATCGTAACGCTTGTCACTATTAGGGAGGGCAGATGAGAGAGAATTAAACTCTTAATGACACAATCTTGATATAAAAGGATATATATGATATAAAAGGTAATCTTTATGATCGATCAATTGAATTGTACTTTTGATTTTGGGTGCATAATGCCATCTTGCGTTTTACTTCTAGCTTAGTAGTGTATAAAGTGCAATCGAGCCTTTACACCAAGTCTATCAGTCTTTTCTAATTCTAATATCCGACATCACAATTGGTCCCCAGATAGGGTGTGCTGTAACGCGAAGTGGGCAGCAGGGTGTGGTGATGGAGGTGGTAATACTGAGAGCGAGAGCCCAACTGAATCGTCTTGTGTCGTCGGGTGAGAGGCGCGCGGGGGGCGGCGAGCGCTCGCCCCGTGCGGAGGGCGGTGGCGCGGCGGCGCGGGGGGGCGCGGGGCGCGAGCGCAACGCCAGCATGGCGCCGGCCGCGCCCGCGCCGGCGTCCACCGCGCCCTGGCTCAACGCCACGCTCGTCTACAACGCCACCCGGCTCAACGCCACTTTTGACACCGACTACGAGTTACTCAGCTCCAATTCCACCGACGAACACCATCACTGGTTTTGCGCGAAATGGACCAACGCACAGCAAGATCTCTTTCAGGTATATAATTTCCCCTTCGTTGACACCAGCTGTTTATCTCAAATTTTGCTAAATTTAAAGGTTCTAACATTGTTCCTAGGCTGCCAACTTGTGTTTTGCGATCGCATTCCTAGCACCGAAGAGCTTTAAGCAGAGCATCCTAGTGCTGCGCGCGCTAGCCGCAACGGGCGCCGTGCTCATGGGGCTGTGGGCGGGCGCCGAGGTGTGCGCGCCTGACGTGCTCGCCTGGAGCCTTGCGCTCGTGCTCGTCAACTCTATACACACTGTGTTTCTTATAATAAGGTGAATCGCAAAATTATTCTAATAAATTTAACTATAATCGTGTATTAAGAAGTCATAGAAAACATCATCTTCACAAAATACGTACATTTTCTCACTAACTTAATGTCACGTTTCCAAGAGTCCACCAAAAGTACTGGACGAACTCGGCAAAGGCTGATTTGTGGACTTTGGCCACTTAAATTAAAGCACGTTACCATTACTAAATCTTGATGGACAAACTTTTACTTCGGGGTCGTGCACGCAAACCGACGATAGTGGTACTTTATAAATCAAGTTTACTCCGCTGTTATTTCTATCTGCAAGTGATTCAGAATATTTTTGACTTTTTTCATATATGTAAGCATGTTAGTCAGTAACATTCTTGTCGATAGATATAGCAATAGCACTTATTTAGGGTAACATTGTCTGTCACAGGTTTCTTCCTCCAGCACTATCTCTAGAGCTAACAGATTTATACTTGAAGCTATTCAAGCCTCTAAAAGTGAACAAGAAGCACTTCACTGAACTGACACGAGAAGCTAGGATAGTGCGGCTTGAGCCCGGCGAAGCGTACGCGGTTGAAGAAGTCACACCGGCTGACGAGAGATTGTCTATACTTCTAAAGGGAAAGTAAGTAATATTGCCAAAAACACTCGAAGATCAATAATCAAGAATTGCCTCCACCTTATTAATTAAACTTCTTTACCGATGAACGAGCGACATCTGTTACTGAATAAATTGAATACCAAATAAGTCTCCTCAAAAAATCTTATGAAGATAAAATATCGAGGGTACAGAGCTACAAAATAAACAATTCAAAGACGAGCGACGACCCTCACGATGTAAAATAAGATACCTATACATATGTTCCTTTTGTTTCACTGGTAGAATTATTTTTCTTTGTTTTACCACTGTATGAACTTGTATTGTATGAAAGAAAAGACAACACAAACATCATTCTATATTCTCTGACTAATTGACTGGTTCGGCGATGTTGTGCAGAATGTTTAGTATATATGATATTTCTTTATGAAAGTAAATATTTGATAAAACGAGACTAGACGTGTTGACAATGTTGTTGTTGACATACATATTAACATTAACGAAACTGGCCTAATCACTGGGTTCGTAAACACTCTATATGTATGTATAAAAGAACTGTATGTGTATTGTTAAAACATTTTGTTTGGGTTGGGCTACGCAGGGTAATGCACGGCAGCCCATAAGCTAATGGTTCCAATTCCCCCGTAAGCCATTTTATGGCCACTATAACGATATTAAGTACCTACCAGGTCTAGCTCGCTTTGTAAATGAGTCTTATTAGTGCATAGTATTTTTACCATGTCACTAAATTAACTACGCTTGCAAATTGTATCTAATTAATTTATAACTACATACTGTTGCAAGCACAGCAATTACCCAGGCACAGGCAAATTTATGGCTAAAGTTTGGGTGCTGTGTAATTATAATAATTACGAATTTTAATAATATACCAAACGTGCATGATTATACGGTTAAATGGCGTAGTAGGTCACTTCAGATCGGCGTATTTATCGCTACGATTATACCTCGCTTCCATTGATAACTCTGGTGGGAAACTCTTGGTGATCTAATAGGCGCTATTATCCAACAATCTAAGTTATTAGGGCCACAATATGGATTCTAATCTACAACGTGTATCAGCGATTTATGAACTGTAATTAATATGAGTGCGAAATAATACGTTATTAGATAGCTAAAATCGATTCTATTTGAACAGGATGCGAGTAAGCTGTGACGAGACACATCTGCACTACATTCAACCCTACCAGTTCGTCGATTCTCCAGAATGGGAAGCCAATCGAGAACAATCAGACGACGTCTTCCAGGTAATCAAATAATCTATTTGTTGCTATATTTTAAATCTAGGATTAAAATAATGTTGACTATCACATTTTCTTGCAAATAATTCTTAATTTTCTCTCCCGTATATTTTCCTCATAACCAAGTATTTCGATTTAGAAGGCATTCGATGCCTTAGTCGATTTCTCCATAAAAATTCACAGATGCTCGGAAAAAACTTCATTCATGAAACATGAGGCTGGATTCGTTAATCTTTGCTCGTATCACTCGAGTTTGGACGAGACACTACACTCATTGTAATTCCACGCACACTTACGCTAAATAATTCAGGAGCGCTTCAGAATAACGCATTAACTTAATGTGACATGTGAAAACTAACACAAATTGTCGTTTTTCCAATATATTATTGTATTTTACGATTGCTACACAATGATCATAAAGATTGGAATGACATTACAAGCCCGAATTTATTTTTAACATAAATTGCTTGGCGATTGTATAAATATAAATGTTTGAGATTGATTATGAAGTATGGGAACAAGTGAATACGAAAAGAAGGGCGTTGGCGTCCTACTTGATCGCGCTTCACGGAGCACCGTGACAACATCAGATGTTCGATATCTCTTTCTAAGGAATAACTTTCCTTTGTGGACTTTGTGGTTTAAAAAATTAGTCATTACCGATATATTACACGTATCAGCCAGCTTAGACAAAAGACTTGTTTCTTGTTTAGTAAAATTATTTTAATGCTGCCACTCTCTGCGATGTTAAGCAAAATCCTTCAGAAAATATAATTTTATTCACAGTACACATTATGGGGCATACGATTAAAGCAAGCATTGTTGCCATTTCATAAACAATAATTTAATTACTTACACACAATAGTCTAGTTGTTCGTGCAGATTTGACTTGTGTGGATTTCATTTCTTGGCTATTATAGTTGTTAGTTTGTTTAGGGCAAACTTTGACTACAAAAGTACCCGTGGCAGTGACGGGTGTATTTGACGTATCCCTTTTGTAAATCAAGCTCTCGATGTTACGACGCAAAAAGGAAATAAACAATTATTTTTCATTTTTGACCAGACTGACAGACTGACAGGTCAAAGGGTTTTCTAAAACTGATAAACTATGAAAATAATGGATGTTTTTATTTATATTTAAACTCTATTTCATTTGGTACGAATGTTATGATAAGACATATTTGAATCCTCATTCCCGAGAGCTGCACGAAAGTAATCGAAACTACAACGGATCAACCGGAAGAGTGAGTGGGTTTATTGCAAAACTCGAGGCAACTCTATTCAAAGCTATACGAATACTTGTTGGGCAAAAGATCTTATCTCCGTATTCGGTGCACGTGCTCGCGCCAAACTGAAGTATATAAAGTGATGTAACCCCATTTTCTTTGAAACGTACTTCTATTGCGATTGTGTGTGTTTTTAAATGAAAATTGAAATCCTAAATGCTTTAGATACTTATTTTATAATTGTAAGTTCAAAGAACAAGACTTTCTATTCTTTTTTAATGTATGCTCCTAAATAACTCTTTAAAGGACATGGCCAACTTTTGTATGGGCGTTTGCATAGTTATTGAATTAAATGTACATCAATGATTTTTGGTGTTTACATTCGTGAATATTACTAAATTAAATTGAAATAAATAAAACACATGAAGAACTCGTAATTACAACACACAAGACGAAAATAGTTTCACTAAACCTTTAGTCAGATTACTGGCACGTAAGTGCACGAAATAAGATTTTCTTTTAAAAACCTATAAAAGAAAAGAATAGGTATAAATAATTATGATTTATTTATTAAGGAGAATAAATAAAATAATAATTCACTTTTATATTTTTATTTTACAGTGTATTTTATTATATTTGTGTATATGGAATGTTCGTTTCTGTATGGGCGTTGGCACAGTTATTGAATTCAAGGTTCATCAATGATTTTTGGGGTTTTACATTCGTGAATATTGTTATATTAAATTGCAATAAATAAAACACATGAATAATTTGTCATTAAAACACACTAGACAATAATAATTTCACTGAACCTTTTGTCAGATTACTGACAATAAAGCATAAAATAGGATATGCCATTAAAAAACCATAAGGCGTATTAATTATTTACTTATTTATAAAATAAAACAAATGAATAGGTATAAATAGTAACGATTTATTTATTAAGGAAAATAAATAAAATAAAACTACGTAATAATTCATTTTTCTATTTTTATTTTACAGTGTATTTTATTATGTTTGTGTATATGTATTGTACGTTTCTGTAATATATATTCTGTATAATTGGGTAATAATATGGTAGTACTTTCCCTTTGAAACGTCCCGGTTAAAACAGGCGGTAATGGTGGTGGCTCTGGTGGGCTAACTACTTGAACATAAGGGGCTGCTGCGTTGTTATCAGAAGCCAACTCCTGCACGTTGTCTGAAGCTGATTCTTGCACATTGTCCGAACCCAATACCTGCAAGTTTCGTGATAAGTCCTGCACTGCCTGTCTATTTGCCCGCATCCAGCACACATGACAAACATAGTTGTTTCTTGAGGGCTGAAAATAAACCCCAGTTAGTTATTCTAACTGGGGTTTATTTACACATGTTTTCAAGTTTTATGTTATTGTAAAATGAGAAGAAAAGAAAGAAAGAAGTCTATCCAAACATGAAAAATACATAAAGGTAGATATTATAATCACACATTCATACTATGAGTGCTATTTTTTATAGATTTTTATAGATAAATACAAGTAGATATATAAAATAATGAATTAAAAACAAAATGCTTACCACATTAATAGTATTTTGTGATATTAGGCCAGTCAGCAATAGAGAGTCTATACTGACATAATGGTGTCTTATTTTTCGAACCGATTTTCCACAACCAAGGCAAACCATGTTATGCTCCAGTAGTCTCATGTTCACCAGCCTCAGTATTCAATAATGAGAAGCATGGTTGACAAATGAATCGCATACCATTATAAAACATAAAAAAACAGACTAAGTATTATACTATTCCGACTTCATACCTGGATTTGAGCATTGGTTAACCAACGCGAAAGTATTGTTGGATGGTGTGCAGAAAGCCAGAATATAAGACGCCTCTGTAGCCTTTGTATGGCTATTCCGCATTTGATGCACCTCATCGTAATCCACAAAACAAATCCAAAATCAAAACAGTCCGGTACTCCAGTATTATTAGCAAGGTTAACAGAAACACGCTGTCAAAAGTGTCAAACGCGTTCCGTTTCGTTTATTTTTTTGTTTTCGGTGATTTGAATAAAAATTAAAACATAATATTATTATAATACGAGTATTTTATAAAATGCAACTAGAACCAATGAATACAGTTTCGTATTAATAAAATGTTCCTAGTGTAATGTATTTGTCGATCATATCACACGTTTTCTACGAGTGTTTACGTACGAGTGTTGAATTCACATACATTACTTATATATTTTTTAATAATAATTGTCAAGTCTGGAGAGGCTAAAAACTACGTAATAATTCATATTTCTATTTGTATTTTACAGTGTATTAATTTTGTTTGTGTACGTGGAATGTACTTTTTTGGCCATGTCCTTTGATTCGTGCACATATTTGGTTCCTACTTACGTACACAGTAACCGCAACACATTCGTTTGCACATAGAAACAGTTTACGAACCAATGCTATGTGCCTTAGAGAACTCACTAGGGGTGATAGAACATTCTGGTTTAGAGCTCAGACCGTGATGGATATTTATATGGCAACCGGGACCGACAGTTTTACGTGCTCTCCGAGCCGCGGAGAAGTCTCAACGTGTTAAAGTCTACCAACTGACTCTGAGAAGTATACATTGCATTGAACCTTAAGAGCATTGGTCGTTAGGCATGTAACTTATACAAGTACTACACAAGTTCCTACTACGAGTTTTTTAAACTTTTGAAGTTCTTATTTTGAACTTCGTCTTACCAAAATAGGAAGTATCTTCCCGCCTATTTGTTTCTTTATTTTGACTTAATAATATTTTAAGGTAACTTTTTAAATAAATTCAGATGAAGTGACAGGCACAATGTTTCTCAGGTGAGCGTTATTGCGGAGGAGGTGTCCACGTGCGTATGCTGGCCACGCATGCGCCTGGAGCGCGTATTGCGTCACCGCCCGGCACTCAAGGTCGTGCTCGACTGCCTTATAGGTCAGTCCTCCTTCAGCATTATCGTTGCAACTTCAAAAAATCGCTTTCCTTAAAACGTGTGCTCGATTGTAAGGGCCTTGACGGCGGAAAGTGGAGCATTTTAGATAAGAGTACATTACAACTCTTAAGTAGGTACTTACCGAATATTTGTATGAAAACGTTGTTGAGGGCTTAATTTGTGTGAGTGGGGAGAGCGGTTATTTGTTATTCGTTAAAGTTTGAGAAGTCACTACAGAACGTCGGCTAAAATAGTATATGTAGTTCTGCCTGCGTCTTATTGTAGGCTTTTTCTTTGGTGTACAAGTTCAATTCTGTCTGTTAATATCCAATTCTTTTGTATAACTAATATCGCTTATAAAGAATTGTTGTCGGTGCCAGGGCCCATTGTTTATCTAAACTGAATTAAGGAGTGAATGCGCGCAATTCACTTCACGAATATTTCCAATTTGGGCTCCCTCGACGAAGTTCCCTCCAATATGAAACATGCAGTGACTCGACAAAATAAATTATTCATCCAATCTAACTTTCTATTAACTGTATCGATATGGTTTTTTGTTTATACAACAGATTTATACTTTATCAAAACGTAAATATTGTTTATTCCAGTCAACTTTTCAAACTGAGAATAATTTGAATTAATGACTTTGACCCAATTATTTATCTTTTACTTTTTTTAAGTTATGAACTTTGTTCTACCTGATATGGTTTGCCAAAGCTTACTAATTCTCACTAAACAGAAAACTATAAAGATTTGTAACATTTTGTTTAAATGTTTCCAGGCAAGGATATAACACACAAGTTGTACTCGGTGAGCGAAGGATTGGGCGCCGGTGTAGGAACCGACAATGAAGGGCCGCCCTCCCATCTGACACGTTCAGCTAGCGTGGACGCTGTTCATGAGGGCACGCGTGGGAGACTGCGAAGTAATGCGTGGCGCGCGCGCACCACTGTCACCAAAGGTAAATTACTAGTTAATACCTGAGATAGAGCCTGATTGCACTGCATTCGATTCTGACTCAGTCAGAGACAGAGTCAGTCAGTCGAAAGTTTTTTCCAAATCTGGCTGTGATTTGAGTGTTAAAAAAACAATCTCTGATCAAAACAGTATTAATTCCCTTTCTTACATAAATAAATTGTGTATTATTTATTTAAAAAGGGGAATAACTACGGTTATTTACTACGCATTTGGTTTATTTGTCTCAATCTTCGATTCACAGTTTTTTTACTGCTGATATAACATCAAATCAATTAACATTATTTCTCGTGCATACGAGACCTAGATTAGACTTTTACTATCTAGAACTGATAGAATGATGATTGCGAAACATGTGATTCCCCAGGAACATCATACTGGCAACCAATGGTGGCCCGTCAATTCCTCCGACAATCACCATTCGGGCGAGTGGCCCAGCCGCCGCGGCTGCTTGCGCAAGCATCGTCAGCGAGTCTGCAGCCAGCAGCACCACCTCGGAAGCGAAGTCCTCCGCGACGGACAACGTCGTTCCGGCGGGGCAGGGAGGTGAAGTTTGCGGAGATGACGATAGCTTCGGAGCCGGCTGTGTGACGCGGGCCGCGGCTCCAGCCCGAGCTGGTGCCGCTCGTCTCCCCACAAACCTTCTCTCCCACCCACATGTCGCCATCCCAAAAGACACCCTGACCGTTAACCGAGCGATCGGACTCGCCTCGTACCACAGACTTTTAGCGAGCCGTCGTCATCTACTGTGAACTTAACTACTTGGTGCCCTTACAATACAGTGCCGTATTTTATATCGGAAATTTAACGTGTAAACGCAAGTGAAATACGAAAACATGTTTACGTTGGTGGTTTGAGTATGTTCATGTAAAATCCATGTTAAACAACTCGACATATATTGTGACTTGTGACGTTTTCTCATTTGCTCGAACTTAAACTTTGCAATGGAACTACATCAAAGTCGTACAGTGGTACTGATGCAGTAAGTGAACACTTAGTGTATATTGAGTATGATTAATTTAAGGAGTGCTGGTGTAATATTGTAATTATTGTGTGAGGAAGTAGTCTAGTGCCGACGTACCTATCGACTGTATGCATTGCAGCGTACATGATTACCTAACGCTCAAGTACTATCTAAATGAACACTACGCTAAAGTGACAAATTTTATAATTGCAAATAATGCGATCAGAGCGATGAATAGTTCCATACTGATAGAATAAAGGAATTGTAATTATACCTAATTTTTTAGCGATCGATAATTCAAATGTGGAATTCTAAAAGTATTTTAATGTTAAAGTAATTAATTGTTTATTAGTGGTAAGATGTGTTAAATTCGTGATAAAATATTAAAGTTACTGCGCGAGTTTATATTATGTAATATTCATCAAAGGTTTACTGCATAAATATTTTCGAAATCCGTGTACTACATTTAACATAAGTGCGTATACATTTTGAAACTATATTTCTTTCTTCTGTTGCAAAAGGAATTATTAGCTGATATATGCTTGCATTCGTTTTCAAACCCAAACAGCAAAAGCCCGGTGCTGATATGATCCGGAATAAAAGCGGCAAAGCCTGAATAGTTCTTAAAATCTTACATATAAACCGATGGTAACTGTATTTCTACAATATGTTCTAAGCTTAAGATAAAAATAAAGACTCGATTGATGTTTTACACAGCAGCTTTTGAAAACCATATACATAATAAGTTCTACCTAGTAACGAATGCTTCTGTACCGATTAAACCTTCATTGTAGCCAAAAAGGGTCAATTTAAATATCACTCGTGATAGTTACAAAACTTGTGAAAATTACAACGAAAGCAATGGTTTGTGTTAGTCTGTTAGTGTAGTCGATGTCAGTGCTTAATGTATCCAAAACTGCAAATAAAATAAAACTTCAAATATCTTCCAATTACAAACAAGCCCACAAATAGTTCTCATCAAATGAATGAATCTGTGAAATTATATTAATGAAATAAAACTGTATTTGATTATCTGTTGTCGACATCGATCAAACTCCGGTAGGCAAGCATGAAGTCGTGGCAAGTCTTGCAGATTCATGTGGTCAATATGGATTTTTTTTGTATGATAATACGAAACAACAAATTGGTCTTCTTCAATATTTATTACTATTTTTTTTAAATAAAAACTTTTAAAACGAAGGCAGATAGATTGAAATTATAAACGACTCGTTTGATTGGGTAAACCAAAAACGGAATTTATAGATAGAATAACTTTAAGAACCGTTCTAATGTTCAAATTGCACATTTGGAATATCTCACAAAGAAAAATATTCAAATTCATCTAAATGCTAAGAGCTGAGCTTTTAGTAAATGTATTTACTCATATTGTGTAAGCGTGAAGAGACTTATAATCTCTACTTAAATAAGTGTCATGACACATCTGAATAGAGGGTGATTCAAACATCATAAATCGAACGAATAATTGGCGGTTGAGTGGGTAATAAAAGTAAGCCGTTGATAAAGGTACATTCTGTTTTCATGTTTGTGATGTTTGGATCCCAATCATAGTACATAATTACTCACTTCGATGTTTAGTTGATGTTGTTGCTTCACTATACGTGTACGGTGTCAGACTAGATGGGCATGTAGTTCGGTACCTTCTTACTGTTCTAAAATTCGTCGGAATTGTACTGTCGACGATCAATACGTAATATAAGAGACCGTACAACGAGGATCAAGTCATCACTCTTCACTATTAGATAGCTAATCTTAATACAATGAGTGATACGTGTTACGTACTCTAATTATGATAGTCTACGGCAACCAGAGAGAACTTCTAAATGATAAGATATAACAAAATAGATATACAACCCTAACTTTTCTGATATAAATATTGCAGAGTATTTTTACGTTTTGTAACGTATTTGAAATTGACAAATAGGCAACAGTGTCGCATTAAGAAATTGATAGACAAGTTACTATTTTCAATGTATCTATTTTTAATACTAACAAAGCTATTTCAAGTTGCATTACCACTAAATACTTTTTTTCTATAATTTATTAAGTTAATCAACCTTTCCAATGTTTCGTACTCTTCCATATTTACTGAGATGAGTGAATGATTTGTTATCCCAAAGCGTTATTGGGAATGCTTCCCTTTGAGTCTTCCAATTTCACTGTATTCTATTGTTGGTCGGTATTTCTAGACACAGAAACTAGTCTAGAAAAGTGTTGATGTTTCCAAACAACAGTCTTGTGATGAATGAATGATCTCGGCGTTACATCCTGATTGTACGGTGTCTGTCACGAATACATATCGTTCTTCGTCTTGTCTCGTCTTGTTAGTTCTTTCTCTAATGGTGTAGTAATGTTCTCGGTGGGCTAATTTTTTAATGCAGTAGTTTATACGAACAGACTATACATTAAATAAGTATTCACCACATGTTCACTGTCATCATAGCAGTAAAACGCTTTGTTAACGATTTAACTAGAAGCAGGAGACGGTCAGGGAAAATTGCAATGTTGTTACTATGTATCAATTGAGGACATAATTGACCCGCTTGCAAACGTCATGCGTCACTTACCTACGCAAGGCTGATAACAATGTCGCATCTTTCCCTTCGCCTTCATGCAAATTACAAAAATGTTGGCCTTGCTCTTATGGTGTAATAAAATAACATTATAAAAGGCTAGTGAAATTTTGATAACTAAATACCAACTAGACTTGAAATTATAAATTGATAAGGTAAATCATAACGACGTTAATTATGTATTCACTAACATAATACTCACAGCGTGTTTCATATTCAAATGCTTTTTGTGATTCTGTGTCATTAGTTGTCTGATAAGGTTTGGGTACCACATGCTTAAGACGACTTCGGAACAAGACTCGTTGCTATCACAGGAATTGAAGCGGAGACAGACATATTTGTTTTCGTGATTTGAAAATGCTATGGTTAAGAATCTTCTGTTGTATTCTGTCCTATTTTGTTTGTTCAAAATCATGTCTCAGTTTGTTTCTTAGTTTGGTATGGTGTATTTAGAGGCTTAACAACAAGCGCCCAGTAAACATAATCTATTATGATAATGTAATCGCTTGACTGTTTTCATTTGTTAGTGTCACTTAGCATTTGATAAAGTAATTTATGTACTGTCAAAGCTACATTTAATTGTACAAAATCGGGAGCAAAATGCAACATTATTTAACGCTTTATACTTTATATTGTTGTTTTAACTGACGTAAGTTTGCAGCTATAAGGACATTGTAATGATTTTTCTTCTACATAAAATGTGTACAAAGAAAAAAGTCAATATTTATATGTTTTATGCGCTCTGTATCATAAGAGAATGAAGTAATGTATGTCTTAATGTGATCAAGCACTCGTGTACAAAGTTACAATGCAATACCTAGCTCTTCCAATGGTTCTCCGTGTCAACACTCGACAACCAAAGACACGTGAGTTCCAATTTCTTCCAGTATCACAACTAAACTTTTTAAACACATTCATTTTAATCAAACTACATCTAAACAATATAAAGTTGTATATTCTTCAGTATAATTAGATATGTACATGTAGGCAGTTACGATGTGATAACTATTCGACATATTCATAAACTTGTGAAAGGCGCGAGTCGAAGTATGCACAGTCATTGTTTTAGAGGATTTTAATTTGAACGTGCAGTGAATTAAAGCAATAGTTTATAGTGATAATGACAACTTAAATGCTATTTTATCTGTGTGTTGTTACATAGTATGTATATTGTATAATGTATTGTATTGTATCAGCTGCGGACTAAAACAATGATCGGTAGCGACACTTTGCAGAGCGCCTCTGTGATACACGTTAGCTATTTAGACTAGGAGTCGTCAGTTCGTATTCATGTACTCGCAATCTGATGTTATTCTCATATGGGTTGCCTCCAGCGTCTCGTCATACATGGCATTATAGTTATTGATTATATTATTGTATTTATTCACTTTATTAACATGTTTATTATGTCTTTAATAAAACAATTGCTTATTACATCGTTTTATTTTAGTGACGAAAGTTACCATGTCGGTTGCATTGATGGGACTGTATTCCTACATAGGTACTACAGTAAAAAAAATTAAGATACCGAAAACCCGATTATATTTAACCCAAGTTAGTGTTCAAATCCAGAAGTCGAACTCAAAAATAACGTTTGCTGTAAGTACATATGTGAATTATTCATAACATTTAAACATTTTTATCGTCACTTAGTTTAGGTTCATTGATTGTTAAACAGCTATTTCAATCGTGTGATAAACTACATTGTTTTATAATTTAACTTATACGTACTAAAAATCACGATATCCAGTATTTGATATAGGTACCAACTTAGGTTGGATAACATGCGTTTAACCACATAACAACCGGTTAGAAAGAGAGGGGTAACACACAGCAGTCTTTATAATGCGACTGCATATTGGTACGAAGTAAGGTAAACTGTGCACAACTACATAGTTACCTTTTCTTCGCGTTATGAGTGATACAAGTTTCAATGAAAATGTTGTTAACAAGTTGACTTTAAGACGATGACCCCTACCTATTACGTCATACAGACAACATATTCGACTTAGCGTGTATAATATTATTTAAAATGGTAATCAATGCCCCAGCCCACTGATAATGAGTTGATAACATTCAGTAGTGTTTGCGAAGGCGTGGAACAGAGCCGGCCCGCGACATGAATCTTTATTATTTATAACTAGAAATTTTGTTTTACTTGTAATTTAATACGGATATAGTTATAATGTCGTTCCTAATGAGAAAGTGTATTGTGAACTTGAAGAATTTCAACAGGTGTAGAACTGTGTGTGTTTTGCTGCAAACTGTGAGTATTTTAAACGAGACAGTCTTTCATTTTTTTGTTTATTTTGTTCCGTAACTAACACAAAAACCGGTTTTTGGTATGGCCATCTATTTAATTATTTATAAGCGAATGAATTTTCGTAAATTTACCGTCTTGATTTATAGTTGTCAATTAGAAATATTAATGAAGTCTGTCATGTTCATGTTACAATAGGTTAGTAATACAATAACTTAAAATGGATTTGCATCATTATATGACGCGCTATTTAATGAAGGTCAATCCTAAACAATATTTTTTATTTTATATCGTAGACATTTATGTCTAATCACAACCGTAATCATTATAATTACCTACATACATATAGAATTTATCAGTGGCACCCGAAAATCAGTGTAGTTTCTTCATAGCAATAAGATAACAATATTATAAAAAGACGCAATTCTTATCAATTAATTGCTAAATAACGGGGGAGGTGCTTTAAGAGATAAGCCTCAAGGTAACACTAGTTTTGCGAAAGTAAACACAGATAAATGCAATGAATTTAAATGATTTACCGTTACTTTAAGCAGTTTATAAAGATTTAAGTACTTATACGATTAATTTTAGTAAATCAATAGTGTTATTGTATGAAAGTCGGACTTACTTATTAGTTACTTCTAATAATAAAGTAATTTTATTCATACTTTAAATATTTTTTTTAAAAAGTATAGATGTTAACTTCCTTCTTATTTCAAAAAAGATTGTGTCGTCTCAAATAAATAAGTAATTTATATAAGAATATAACAAAAAAATTAATAAACCTGAATATCAAACTGCGTTCCTCCGTCCAATGTCCGTGGTCGTAAATACATTTGTGGGAACAGTATGATGGTAATGAGGCAAAACGGAACAGCCACACATTTCCGTTCCACCTCATTACCTTCTTTTCAACGAAGAATACATATTTAAGCAAGTTCCGTAGATACTCTTATATGTATAACTTAGCTCCATTTTGTTCTAAACTTATGCTATAATAGCCATAATGTCATATTTACCTGGAACATATTTGTCGTCACACATAGCCAGTATATGGACTTCTGTACATAATTGTGTATATGGAACACACAAGAGGTCTTCTAAAGGCTTAAGCCGCTCCAGACTACTATAGCTAGACGGCCCATTTTGTAACTGATATAATACACACTAAGATTAGATGTTATTTGCCTTTCGGTGATGTTAAAAAAATGTAATCGAAATGTGGCCCTGTTAGCTCTCTAATCGAAACTAATCTTTTAATTCTGTCTGTCTGTCTTTTCTGCACGCCTAAACTACTGAATCGATTTCTGTGAAATTTGGAACAGACATAATTAGGAACTCGAGAAAGGACATAGGATAGTTTTTATGCCAAAAATCTGCAGGAAGTCACTATTCCACGCGAACTTGTGAATATTTAAAAACTTCATGAACTTCATCTCATTATTTGCAATTCTAATTTCAGGAAAGGCAACTATCAAGATGTTCGTCTAATATTTTAAATCGCAGTATATTGTTGTCTGAAGTTCATCTTCGACACAGAAATTTACATACAAGTAAAATTTTGAACAAAGTCGTCGCTTTCAAGCTCTCAGACATCGGTGAAGGTATACGAGAAGTCGTTATAAAAGAATGGTAAGTAAATATTCTTAAAATTTACTCAACTTTAAGACTTTTCTTAACAAAGGACAAAATTAAACGTGACCAACTCCATGAATCGAAAGGATTCCTATTTTTTTTATTTTCATAGTATACGTATGTTTAAAAATTTAAGAAATTCAAGCGTCTATTTGGTTATGTTATGGTTATACTGTGCTTAAAGCGTCGATTTAATGTAACTAAATATTATTTTAATAGCTTAACCTTCTGTATTGAATGTCTCATTATTAAACGCTATCTTCTGAATTATCCTCAACTATCATATGATGTAACAATGTCGTAATTATACACTACGAACACTAGTTATTTACTTGTTTAAGAAATTACTGAAGTTCATTAATAACGTTCATTATCAACAATCTTTCGTTCTAAATAAAATTACATAACTCGAGCTCAATAAGTAACTACTAACTATAATAGTAACTACTAACTTTTACCTATTACCAACTTAAATAGATCATAACAAAATCTCTCTCTCCAAGATTAACCCACGAATGTTTTTTCACAAGTTATATACCTCCCACAAGATCATAGGGGATAAGCTTATTCGCTCTGACTGCTCGCAAACAATTTCGAAAATCGAAAAAGATAACCAATTATAATTTTCCGGTCCAATGTACGTGATCCCGGAGCCGTTGCCCAGTGTTATGACCCATAAAATCTTGTCTTAACTTTTTTCTAAAAAACCTAACTTATAAATAACTCCTTGGTCTCAATTTCCAGGTTCGTGAAGGTCGGTGATAAAGTGCAGCAGTTCGACAATATCTGCGAGGTGCAGAGTGACAAGGCAGCTGTGACTATCACCAGTCGGTACGATGGCGTGGTCACTAAACTCTACCACGATGTAGATCAGACTGCGTTAGTGGGACAACCACTTGTTGACATTGAAGTGCAGGGTGCTTCTGATGAAGGTTCGTTGTTATTTGAACTTTAATTCGTCATGTTAAAGGTTTTAATTGATTGCTTGTATGCTTCTTATGTTTTGAGGATGTCTACTATAAATAAATATAGTAGGTATGTGCCTATCTACTACGGATTCTATGACAATGTTTTTCTCAACGTCATCATTCTCCATAAAACACTGAGTTCGAAGTTTATACTTGGCTATAATCGTAATATTGGGGATACAATAAAATAGAATCTAATTATTTATTTGATTAGAATGTAGTTTATTAATACAATAAGGTGTTACAAAACTTTTGATCCTTATACACACCGTTACTTATGCGCCTTTAAATCAATTAATATTAAGGGTTAATATTAAGTTAAGTACTAACTTTGTTAAAACTAATAAGTGCAGCCCTACGAGAAGTATTAGGCGTTGTATTAAATACGTAAAATAAACAATGAGATTATATACCTTCTTTGATGTGCTTACAAATAAACTAAACACTAATGTTAATTTTCAGCTTCTTCTGAGTCAAACGAGAAACCAGCTGCAGCTAGTCAACAAGAGCAGAAAGCGGATAAGCCCCAGAGAGTAAAAGTTCTAACTACACCTTCTGTTAGAAGAATCGCTGCACAGTTCAAAGTTAGTAGAAGTTACTAAGAAAAAATATTTATTTTCCGTAATAATTAATACAGTGAATGAATCTGAAATTACCTACATTATTGATTTTTATAAAGAAGCACCAAAATAATTCCGTCCTCTTCTGAACGTTGGCCGTTGCATGCCACTGAGCTCTATTCTGATTTTTTTTAATTCAACCGTCGCCAGCCACCTACGGATATCGGGCCCTACACTCCATTTGTCTCCACTCCAGAACGTCCAAAAGCATTAAGTCCATGTTAATTGAACCAAAATCGTAAATGCCTCTACATCAATTGTTTCCTACTTAATAATAAAAACAAATAACTTTTTTTATTCAAGGTAGACTTAAGCACCGTTAAAGCTACGGGTAGAAACGGAAGAGTTCTCAAGGAAGATATGCTGGCCCACTTGAATATAGACTCGGACGGCTCTAACAAAGTATCTGATCCAACAAGTGTGGATGCAGTGCAAATACCCATGACTCCAGCTCAAGCTAAGGTCGAAGTTCTATTGGAAGACCGAGTCGTTCCCGTTAGTGGTTTCACTAAAGCCATGGTGAAATCGATGACTGAAGCAATGGTAAGAACAAGTAATTAAACTTTTATTTATTAGTTACATACTTTTACAAAAAATTTAAAGTATAAGTTAAGTTAAAAAAATTAAGTGGGAGAGCCATGCTTCGGCACGAATGGATCGGCTCGACCGGAGTGATACCACGGCCTCACAGAAAACCGGCGTAAATTAACCAAAGAGTTGTGAAACCATCGGTAATCCGTTTGCTCGTTTGCCGACCCATCACATAAAAAAAAAAACAGAAATATACAATTGGTGGCCATATCATATTCTGTCATCTATCCCTTTTTGACAACTTTTGCATGGACAGAATTGTGTTAGGTAAAAGCTATTATATAAGACCAAAGTTCAGTAAAAGTATAAAACAAACATTTCAAACACACTCGAAAATAAGAAAACCTACAAAAATATGTGTGATAAATGATCTGATGCCAGTAAATTAAAAATGAATAGAATGAATAGTTAAATTTATTTTTTTAAGGTTTGACACTGTAACTCTCAAATGGGGTTTTTTATGTGATAGGACACCCTCTCTCGCCTTTCCATGGGCGGGAGAAGTCATGTCTCATGCCGCGATTATATTTGTAGACTCTAATGTGACTAGCATTAACGGCATGTCATAGAAACCTTTAAATTTCAAGATTACTTTTCGATTTAATATTGTTAAAACTTATTATTTCAGAAAATCCCACACTTCGGTTACAGCGACGAGTACGATGTTTCCAAATTAGTCGAATCCCGGGAATCGTTGAAGAACTTAGCCCTATCTCGGGGGGTGAAGTTGACGTATATGCCAATAATCATCAAAGCCGCTTCCTTGGGGTTGGAGAATATACCTATATTGAACAGCAGCCTTGACAGCACTTGCGAACATCTCACTTATAAAGCAAGTCACAACATTGGAGTAGCAATGGACACGCCAAATGGTTTAGTAGTTCCTGTTATTAAGGTATAATTATTATTTACTTACTCAATCTTGCCCAATTTCGTCCATAATTTGACATCATCTTTATTTTGTTCTTTGATTCCAGAATGTTCAAAATAAAACTATACTAGAAATAGCTCGTGAGCTTAATACTCTTCAAGAAAAAGGATCTAAAGGACAACTAGGACTCAGCGAATTGTCTGGGGGAACATTTACCTTATCGAACATTGGCATTGTGAGTATTTGTACTAATTTGCAATGATTGGCATTAGCAGGTAGCCGAAATACCCTTAGGTAAATAACTAATCTACGAATTGTTTTTTAGGTTGGCGGGACCTACACCAAACCTGTTATATTGCCACCTCAAGTAGCCATTGGTGCACTTGGAAAAATACAGGTCTGTCAATTCTCACAGGATTTATACTGTTTTAATTCAAATGGCTCTAAAATCTGTATTGTTTAATTTGTTTTGAATAAATTCATCGATTTATTACAGGTACTACCAAGGTTTGATGAGGAAGGCAATGTAAGAAAGGCTCACATACTGACAGTGAGTTTCTCAGCAGACCACAGAGTTATAGATGGCGTCACCATGGCACGTTTCTCAAATCACTTAAAGAACTACCTCGAAAACCCATACACGCTACTACTGGACTTATAGACAATTTAGCTTTAAGTATCTTTTTAAATAGAAAACCAAAAATTCTCGGAGTTAACTATCTCCAGAAACAATATTAAAATTGTTGCACTCTGTGAAATCTTTGAAATTTTAGAAGAACCACCATGTTTTTATAAATATTTGTTTTATTTTTTAAATAAAAGCGTGAATTGTGATTGATTATTTTATTCTTAAATGTAACACGTTTAAACAATACATAAAAGCCAGTCAGAATCTGTTAGGATAAACAACAAATAACTCCTTTTTACTCAGATTGACAGTAGTCTGTGTAATCTACATTAAGTCCAAAAACGTTAGATTTAATATAATTATGGACAAACAAAGTTCTGATCACCGTGGTTTATAGAAACGTACAACCAAAACAGTAATCTAGGTGTCGAACATTAATTGAAATGCAGATACTGAGATACATAACTGTTGTTAGTCCTAAACATCCCGTCTGGCTTTAATAGCGTCCCGTACCTACATATTTAAATAAACATTCCTAAAATTTTGTCATGCCTTTTAGATTTCACATCGATCTGTATAGATGACAGCCCGAAAAACCAGTTCCTCAAAAGTGTGATGCGTCATGCGATTAATAGATTAGCCAATAGTTGACACGAACATGCACGCCAATTTAAGGGTTGAACATTGCATATTTCGTCATGAACGTGTCATCATCAACAATAATCGCCAATATTCTTAGATTTTAGTGTATAAAATGGAGTTCAACCACTGTTTTTTTTCCAAAAACTTGCATTATTTTACAAATTACAATCTAGAACCCAATCATCGTCGTAGAACTTCAAAACGCGTGACCTTGAAGTAAGCAATGGTCCATTCTGGAATACAGTGAGGCGTATATTCACGGTGAAATCTGGCAAATATTTCAGTAAATATCAGTGCCTCTATGCTATTGATTGGAGCCCATTTCAACGCCAAGAATGCCATATCCACATCACAAAATTTCTTATCTGCAAAACGTAATTGAATTTATTAAACACATTAAAGTTCCTTTGTTTTGATTATTTAAAAAATATATCATAAAGTATCTTTCAGTACAATATCCATTAGCTTATCAGCTCAGATTAATATTAGATACGTGTGATAAATATCTTTACAAAGAGACTTGGCTGGTATGCAGTCCCCAAATGCCCGTATTATGTAATCAAATTTGTCTTTCTGTTTGACATTGCAACTTTATTTGCATAGATTTATAATAATAAAACACAACCAGTTATTACATTTTCACTTATTACTTTTTATTTAATTTAATTAATAATAATAAAGCGTGTGTCAAGGCAGGTTGTGGCGAGCTGTTGGGCAGGCGCAACCCCACGATTACTTCCTGTGACTAACTAGAGAGAAAACTTTGCTTCAAACCGCGTCCGCAGTACCTTATGGTGTTTTTTTTTCAAAATCATCAAATCACTTATCTCGGTCAGGGCGAGGACAAAAGAAGTGTCAGTCTTTTACGGCCTTATAAGCCAGATTTTTATTTAGAATTGAAGGTAGGTGAGAATAAGATTCAAAATTCAAAACCTGACTCAATGGTTTAAACCTAGACTAAAGTTAAATGTTGTTTTGTAATAAGAAGGTTACTGGTAAAAACCACCCTGACTCTTTTCCTGCTCCAGGCAGGCAGTAGTGGCCGCAGTACCATATTGGGCTTGCCCCGCAACATGGGTTGGTCTTCCTCTATGGTTGTCTATTGACTCATTGAAGACGCCCGGGGTGTCGTCTACTAAGGCAGTTGGGGCGTGAGTAGGATAGTTGCCGAAATCCGAAACAGGTATCCACCAAAGCTTACGTCCGGTATCTTGTCTGGTAAGCGCTTGCGTACAACATGGCGTGTCTCTAGCCATTCCTCAAAGAGGGGTGCCATGACAGCGTCCCAGGATCCCGTAAAGGATCCACAGGAGGAAGAAAATAAACAGGCGGTAAAGTTGCTGTAGGCCATTGAATTGTGTAATATCATAGATATAAAAGAAAAGTTGCCAAATTCACCTACTACTTTAAAACTAACGACTTTAAGACATTTCTTAGATAATCTAAAATTTCGACTATAGGGGCAATTAGTAATCTTATCCAAAAAATCAATTTAATCGAATCTTTAATATTAAAATAAATCAGTGCAGCGATTACTTGAAGCAAACATTTTTATCTAATCTTATTATTACATCGCATTAAATGTGATATAATAACGTAATAACTCATGAGTGGTAAAAATATCTAAGTACGTACGTTGCTATGTGTGTACTACCCTAAAATATGTACCTATCAAGGCCTTTAAATAAAGATGTATAAAGAACAACTATAGTATTCGGAGCAGCTATTCGGAAATTTCGTAACAATTCTTCAAAAATAGGTAGGTATTAGTTTTCATACATAAGTAAATATCTATATGCAGATACACCATAATATTAAAATAGGAAAAATATACGTACCACCTATCCTAATAAAATAAACTTTACGAGGGGATGAGATCTGTATGTCATCATGGTTGAGTGCTAGTAGGGAGCGTTGTTTTTCGCCCCAGTTGCGATCTAACTCTCGCATCAAGCTTAACCGTGCTGGCTTTGTCAACAAGCCATTTAGGTCCTTCAGCTGGCCAGAACTAATTACTTGTGTTATTCTTGATATAGCCTGACAACATAGGTAAAAGTAAATAGAATAATGTACATATAACCATTGGCCATAAAATGTACGCGTATATGTGAATAACAACATTTACGAATTAAAATACCATACCTGTTTGGTCCCAAATTTGAACTCTCGCTCATGAAATGTCGGATCCCATATATTTCGCAGGACGCTGAAGTCGATTTTTATCATCAACCATGTAAAAGGATTTTGCAACAAAATTAACCTGGGCACTCGCCTCTTTCGGTTCTTTTTTGGCTTTTCGATTTTTCTGCCAAACCCAAAAGACCTTTGAAAGCCTTTGAGAAAACTTAAAGAACCCTTTCCAGGTTGAATATATTTATCATCGCCGCAATCATTTCTCCGAGGTTCTAGATGCCGAAATTCAACAAGAGGCTGGTTATAGAAGCTGGTATTTAATGAGTTATTTAGAATAGAATTTTGTGATGTAGCTGGAATTGTTTTAGTTAAACAATAGAGACTGTGGAAATTTGCTACAAAAACACGTTTTGCAACAAATTTCGCACATATACGCCTCGGAAGGAAAAATAATGATGATGCCATCTGAAAACAATATATAGCATTCGTTAGTTTTTGAACAGTTGAAAAGAGGTGTTCTTAAAGGTGGTGTAAAGGAAATACAATTATTCAACAAACACAATTTTGCATTTATATTTTTAATAGGTATTAATGGGGATTTTTGTATTGATATTCGATGAGGCTTTCAGTAACGTGAAAATTAAATACATACCATAAGTCCATGGCAATTATATTCAGTTTTTCCAAGTATTATACTCCTGATAAAACGCCTTATAAGTAGCGATCTTTTCCATTTTTATTATATGTTACGTCGGATTGAAAATTTTGCACTGAAATTTGTATAAATTTTATTTACATAAACTACTAAATTAACATTTTGTGTGAAATGTATTACGAAAAATTTTATAGTTTCTGTGTAGATAATTTAAAGTCATTTTGACGCGAATGTTATGTCTGAATTTTAGTTTTAATCTATTAATGGTTGCTTAAGTTTCTATTGAATGGGATAAACCTTTTTCGTGTAATCTCTAGTAAGTATTTGTCAATAAATTTCCTTACCTACGTAGGGTATGCACGATACAGTCCCTATGCAAAGTCAAAGCGCATACCACACGTTTTAATGCCAAAAGCCCCTAAGGTTTATGTAAAGAATCTACTTATATTCAATTTAGTAGGTAGTTTGTCTGCTACGTAGATTTGGTGTAATTTGCTTGTAATAGGTATCAATAATATAACTCTGTTCCTACATACAACTGTCTTGCATGCTTCTTTTGCCCGTTCAAGTAGGTACATGCCAGCTTCCAGTGGTTCCTTATATCTAATCCTGACAAGTCTTAATTTATAAGGTACCTTAACGATTTAATTAATTGGCGACCTTTACTCTACCAATATACACAAACATAAACATTAAACATCCTAGTTTGGTGCAGATAGATAAGTAATCCATGTAGCTAAGTGGGTAGGTACCTATTTTGTCCATTATCATGTTTAAGGAAAACAAAAATAAAACTTAGACATAGTTATGTAATCTTGTCACACAAAACAACCATACAAACACAATAATAATATTATGATCTATTACAAATGCTATTTGTGACAAATACTTTCGTATGAATTGGTTTATGACTTATTCAGTAGCGTCACTTGTCGTGCTGTCGCATGAAAGGTTTTGGTTCCACTTGGCTGGGTTTCTATGACCACAATGTGATTTCCCAATTTACTATTATTTCGCTATATAGGTACCTACATATGTATATATTATTAACAGTGGTAATGACAGTACAGACCGTTCTTTCTTGTAATTCGGACAGAATCATTCAATCGTCGTATTAATGACCCTAATCAGAGCACGATATTTAATAACAATATTGAATGATATTGCACTTTGATTATTTTTAAGCAAATGCTACACCGTATCATCAATAGCCGTAGAAAATAATTTAAAAGGTTATTTGTATGTGAAATTGTTTCTTATCGTCAGCTTTTTTCTCCGTCCAATGAATTTAGGTACAACCGTGTCTCCTTAGCCTTAATCTTGATTCAAGTGTCGTATTATCTCTGTGCTGAGTACGTATAAATTGGAGATAGTGTTGATACCAGCTCAGTTTCGGCAAAATCTTCATCGGTAAGTGTTTTGTTTTATTGTCTTCGTAAGCCGTTTTTTCAGGAAATTTATCTACTAAGATTTTTTCAAGAAAAATACGTATATACCTAATTATTATCTCTTGAACTTGGTCGTCCTTGTTTTTAATTCGCAATTACATTCTGCGGCCAGGTTGGAGATGATGACTGAAAAAGTCATTCGATAAAATTTCTTTTTTTAAAATGAAGTTTTTTTTTATTTTGAGTTCTAACATTTACTTCCAATCTTAGAATCTTTATTCAGTATTTGTTGTAGACACTTTATGCCTTCGCTGATTTTAGTGCGACCACATTACTCAAGCCATTGGTTACCCAGCCACTACAATAACTATGCTGGGCAGATTTGGAATAAAATCATTCTAACTACTATTATTGTTTCAGCAATGTGGTCGGTGTTAGCCGGAGTGTTAGCAGTCGCGTCGCTGGGCGCGGCTTGCACCCCCAGTGTGACCACCGTGAGTGGAACCCACGCCCCAGCCACCGTCTGCTCCGGCGCTCTTATCTTCGCAGACGACTTCGACAATTTCGACCTCGAGAAATGGCAACACGAGAACACTTTGTCCGGTGGTGGTGTAAGTTTTGATATCAACATGTAATTTAGGTCTCTCTAGGCACAAGCTGCGTTAATTTTTTTTCTTTTTGGGAATTTTAAAGTTTGAACTACAAGACTTCTTGCCCTCGCAAATGATCTCCATGTAGGTAGGTAGGTAGGTACTATGTATTACTCAAGCTCACTTCTCAATTAAACTACCTTTTCTACTTTTTAGGGCCCAAAATTTTTGTAATGTTGATTTCTGTTTCGCGTTTGTAATAAGTAGTGCCTAATAACAAGTAACTTCAGTGCACGAAATATGACTGGACTCATCATGCGCTATACCTAAGTGCCCACCGCTGAGCTAAGGCCTCTTCTCACACGGAGAAGGTTTGAACATTAATCACCACGCTTGCTCAATGCGGGTTGGCGATTTCAAACTTATCTATAATTAGAAATTAAAGTCCAGGTTTCCTCAAGATATTTTCCTTCACCGTATGTCAATGGTGTCTAAATAATGTCTAGAATAATGACTGGACTAAATTCGTTAAAATGACCGCGGGTTCATCAAAATGTAAAGTATCTTCTTAGTGTTTTATTGTGTAATTCAATTTTAGAACTGGGAGTTCCAATACTACGGAAACAACCGATCCAACTCTTTCACTCACAGTGGACGTTTGTTCATCCGTCCTTCTCTAACATCAGATCAGTTCGGAGAAGCCTTCCTGTCATCTGGACACTGGAACGTCGAAGGAGGTGCACCAGCCGACAGGTAATAATACAAATCATTTTATTCGATTGTCTAATTCTGGATAAGCTTAGAGTTAATATCATCGACTTGCCCGTGCCTTGACCTTGACCTGCTGGAATGCACTCTACCCTGCCGACAATACATTTCCATGTTTTTTCTTTATGTTTTGCATATTTTCTATATCCGCCGATATAAATCTCTATGTACTAGAATAACTCTACCTACCTAGGTACTTCTTATTCTGTGCGGTTAGCAATGTTTCTCCATAAGACTCATGTGCAAAAATATCCCAACACTCTGATGCCTATCCGATAAGCAAAAGCGCACACGTCTTATAACAATTAGGTATTATTACATATAACTTTGATAAGACAAATAATTAGCGATATTGATAGCAGTAACTTCGACTTTGTTGTGCCCACATCAAAGTCAAAGCCGCCGAATACCTACATAAAAGAAATAGGCTTTTTAATTAGCACTTCTGTTTTGACGTAGGAACTTCTGAAACTAATGCTAAAGATTAAAATTATTCCGTTTAAATGCTGAAATATTGCCCTCTTATTAGCTATACGGGTACCTAGTCAGAAGTATCTTTACTTATCAGCCCACTTTTTGATCAAATATTTGTCACCTTACTTGCAACACGGTTAAAGTTTATCAACTATAATTAAATTTGTTTGTTTTCACTTAGATGTACGAATCCACAATGGTATGGTTGCGAGAGAACAGGCTCACCAAACAACATTTTGAACCCAATCAAAAGTGCACGTGTCCGTACCGTAAATTCCTTCAGTTTCCGTTACGGACGTGTTGAAGTTCGCGCTAAAATGCCTGCCGGAGATTGGTTGTGGCCAGGTAAGAAGAAAAATTTCTAATTTATAAAACACGTTACGTGATACCCAGGGCCGATCCGCCAACACAGCGATTGGCACTCGCTCCAGGCGCTAAATCCAAGAGGCCGATTTCGGAGGTTATCGATATTCTATAACATCTAAAGTTCTAGTCAACCGTATACAGTATTGCGCCTGATTAAGTGATCACTCGGTACGGTCGAGATATTCGCGTTGCATATTTACTTTGCACTCACAATTGATATAGAGTCATCAACATCATTCTCCTGCTTGCTACAATATTCCCATACCTACATATCTTAGGAGCAGACAGGAGATTTATTACAATTGGAACTCGCTCCTTTCTAAAATTTATTTCGGGTCGGCGCTGGGTTGGTCTACTAAATTCACTAAACATCTCATTCGAATGATCTGTCAGTCAAAAGAATATTACTTACACTCTATGCTTACACCACAATGTTTTCTTCTTTGTAGCTATTTGGTTGATGCCTGCGTACAACACTTACGGCACTTGGCCAGCATCAGGAGAGATTGACTTAGTTGAATCCCGAGGCAACCGTGCCATGACACACAATGGCGTTCATATCGGCACACACGTAAACAAATTCATTCTTTAGTATTACCGAAGTCAAAATCATTGCAATATCAGTTAAATATCTATAGTCTAGTAGTTGCTTATAAAAACCGTGTTAAATATTGTTAAAGCTGCGGTTACTACGTTACTGGATAAGAAAATATTTAGAATTATGCAAGCGGTGTCGTAATGTTATGTAATTTATGGTTACTCACAGGAAGCAGGCTCGACCTTGCACTACGGACCTTACCCTGCGATGAACGGTTGGGAACGCGCACACTGGGTTAGGAGAAATACCGCCGGTTACAACAGCAACTTCCACCGCTACCAACTTGAATGGACACCAAGTAAGTAGTTGCGACGAAAAGTACACTCAAAGTGCACGACTATAAGACTTAACATCGTGTGAATAGCATATTTACATCAAATGTACCTAATATTTTTTCGCAGATTACTTGCGATTCAGTATCGACGACATGGAACTTGGACGTGTAACACCTGGCAATGGTGGATTCTGGGAATATGGTGGTTTTAACAGCAACCGTAACATTGAGAACCCATGGAGATACGGAAGCAAGATGGCGCCTTTCGACGAGAAGGTATAAACATTTTGACATCTTACCAAAAGCAACTCCAAAATGTCCTTAAAAATGTGATCATTACCAAGAACGACAATTATTAAGAACCTCTTAATAATATGTTCTTATTTTTAACATATCTTTAAATACGGGGCAGTTTAATTAATTGTACGTTTCAGTTCTACCTTATCATCAATTTGGCTGTCGGTGGTACCAATGGATTCTTCCCTGACGGTGTCAGCAACCCGACGCCCAAACCCTGGTGGAACGGATCACCAACCGTAAGTATATTCAATAATTGCATTTACAAGTTTCAATTCTGCTCAGGCATTAAAGTTATTTTCTCTTCTGACTTATTAGTGTAACTACAAAACAGATTTAGCTGGGCAACTGGCTGCTGCAACGTGTCGAGGGTTCAATTCCCGCACGAAATAACTCTATGAGTGATCCACAAATTGTTGCTCCGAGTCTGGGTGTGATGTGTATGTAAATTGTATGGAAATTTTAATTGTCTTATAAACCCGTATGAAGGTAAACATATAACACAACCTTTTTGTGGACATGTGAGTTTTAGACACCTTAAAACCTTAAGTGCTATAATTAAAGAAGAACGTTACATAAACCGTTACATATTATTTATACTAACATATTTCATATTATTGTCGTAGGCCGCAAGAGACTTCTGGAACGCAAGATGGTCTTGGTTGCCAACCTGGAACTTAAATGCCAACGACGGACAAGACGCTTCTCTGCAAGTCGACTACGTCCGAATCTGGGCTTTGTAAACGAACAATACTTACAAGTCAAAAGTGCGCTTCTAAATGAAATCCTATTGTACGCACAATAAGACTGAAATAACAATAAATTATCTTTAAGTATTTTTGTTTTAAATTATACCTTGAAATCCTTACCTAGAAATAAGTGCAGATAAGTAAGAAAGGGGAGAAGTAAGACCCTCCTCTGCAGAGGATCAATAAAAATATCATTTTAAATTTTCATAACAACAACTTTACATAAACATGGAATGATACAACTTAGACTTACAATAAGACACGCGAAGGTGTGATATTTAATCCATGTGATAGAACCTAGGACTCATGTAATGCGTGTTTTTGAAACTGGAAAGCGGTGTAGATGTAGCCATTATGTACGGTGGTACACGACGTTTGTCTGCAAAAGGACTAACTCTTGAATAGTACCGTCGTTCTATTACCTGTAATTATAATACCGAGCTTAATATCCAATACATACTTCATTATTTACCTCTTTCATCCAAAACAAGTAATATACGTCTTTTGTGTTCCAAGTGAGAGATATAATATTACATTATCTATTTCGGTATTGGTATTTACCATGTGTTCCAAATACTAAATGAATAGATAGAACAATGGGCTTTGAAAATGATTAGGTATAAGCATACGTACTTTATCAAAGAATCTTGTTAATTTGACAGAGTTGCTAGTCCCAGCTGCTAATGATCTGAAAGTTGTAAATAAACAATCTTATTGACATACACTTCATTGTTTTCTAATTGAATTGATCTATTAAGGGATTATAATCTTACACAGGGTCGTTCATCACGCATACTTAAAACAATAGACGCGATAGCACAGTTTCAATAATTAAAAAAATAAAAACTGTCTGGCTAACCTCGCCTGATGACAGTTGACAAATATTTCGTCAGCTCCACATTGCTCCGCTATACTACTGGCTAGCCTTCTGTACTGGTTCTTCCTTTGTTTCTCTTCAGCCATATCGAACTTTGTACCAATTACTAAAATAGGAATCTGTAACATAACGTAAAATATCTAGTTAGAAGAAAGTCTTCTGAGTTCTCTCAATTATTAGGGACCTAATTAACGAACCTGAATTGACTTTGCTTCTCAAGATGGAATTTTAACATAACTTTCATAAAAAAAACTGTTTATTTCACTTACTTGCGTTGAACCAAGAAACTGTTCCGGGTCCACATCTACATGTGCCATAGGATTAGAACTGTCCTGATTCAATATTTCAGAAAGCCATTTTTGTAAATTGATTTGACTTTTTCTGTTGGTTAAATCGTGCACTAATATTATCCCTGAAAATAAAATGATAATTTGTCATGTTCAGGAAAGACGGTATCGGTGGTCGGTCATTATTGTGGCCGAATCGGTATATTAATTGGTCTACGGCGAATAATCATAACTTATGATTTAACACGTATGATCCATAAGTGTCATAACTACCTCTCTCTTGACGTCGATCCTTTGGCTTTGGTCATTATTAGCAAGTTCATATAATTTTGTTGTGTTTTTGACCTCTGTAGAAACGAGTTAACCATGGCATGGAAACAAACCGAAATCTCCCTATACCTACTGATAACCAAACAAGTAACCATTTACACATGGCGGGTTTCATAAACTTCACGAGCGGTCGCCACGTGACCAAGTATGTACAAAACAAACAAGACCTATAAGTATATTTATCACTGTGTTAGTAAACTGGTATATTAAACATTCAAACGCTTGTCGATATCAATCTATAACAAGACAATATCGTGTTGTACTTACACTACTTTTGAATGGTACGTTGTCTTGTGATTTTGAGAATCACCCCATATTTAATTACTTAATTATCTGACTCAATAATCATGTAAATAGAATAACGTACCATGAGTGGGCTGATAAAACACGTTCCTAGTGTTTCGATGCCCATTTGATCCGCCAACGTCCCAGAGCTCCACAAAAAACGTATTTTGTGCTTGTGTCCCTTCTTTGTACCTGTGCAATTTCACCTCTACAGAGCATCCGACTGTCCATCCCGGTGACAACAACGGCTTATTATGTGCGATTAAATAAGTCAGCGAAGTTTTTCCTACACCTAAAATAGAATTTTAAAGTTAAAGGTCAAACATGAAGTAATATTGTCTGAATAATAGGGATTTTTTTTTCATCAGTCGAATGTGTTCATTGTACAACTGCATAATTACTATATATTATGCACTTGATAGACACAAGTGTGGGAGAGCCATGCTTCGGCACGAATTTACCGGTTACCGGAGGCCCAATCCTTCTTAACTTAATTTTGGATTATTTTGCCCGACTCAGGAATCTTAAGTAGCTCGGCTGCTGCATGCAGAAGGAACGGGATGGTTTTAAGTCAGTAATTCTGATACACTTGCTCATACAAGACTGAGTCATTGAACGAGTTTCCTCTTAATATACAAAAAGGGGTACCTAGTAAATTGCTTGAATATATGTCTATTAAGAAAAAATTCCTGTCCTAGTTGGTAACAGAATTGAATGACCTTCAATGAGAAGGTCATTGACCTGTGACATCAATTTGAAAAAAAAATTTTGAAACCATAAAAATATAAATACATACTCTAATAAACTATTCCTAAAGCGACTTGTTTTTTATATAAAAATTCTATCATCATTAAAAAAAATTATGTTTACCGCCAAAATATATTTATTATGTTGGCTATCCCATATACGTAAACTGAGGCTAGCCTTCAAAAGTGTCATGGCTACAGTCATGTTGGCAAACGGCAAGTTGGATATTGAATTCGGTGTATTTTTTTTACTTTTATCAGTGCAAATGGTCAGCAAGTGTGATAATATATATTGAGTTTTAATTTACCAGAATCACCAAGAACCACCACTTTAACTTTCTCAATTGCAGCCATTCATAGGATTATAACTCGGTTCGTATCTTTTCTATTATTTTGACATCCACCGTACCAACTTGATAGCCTGAAATTTTGTGTTGCCATGATGATTGATCTTAGATTCTTGTAGTTTTGTATATTCGACTAAAGCTTTTAAAATAATGCTTCTATTTCCGGGTATATATCTTAACTTCATAGTTGTAATTTATATTACATTCAAGTAAAAGTAATAATTGAACCTTCAAAACATTACTTTATTATACTACTTATCAACTTATATACTTTTGATTGACTTACTAAAACCATTTAGTAATTATTTGAACTGTGAGTGTTGTCATGCTACATATGACATTTATCAGATTGCTCATCATTGTTCTATTCTGTTCATTCATTCACTTTGCTACTTCTTTTGCTTCTTGCTTCGCGAAGCTAAAATCAATACATAATAAAATAACTACGTCCGCCATTGTACAAGTGTTTTATCATGTTGTATTTAGCGTAAAAGTAAAATGCAAGGAACCGATGTCACATACAACGACTCTTTATCTCCCATAAAATAAAACAATGGACATTTACTATAATTTATTTATTGTGCTTCTTCTTATAAATTCTGTGCATCTTTACTGTGGACCATACAATGGACAAATATGTAAGAAATATTCAACTGGGTACGTATGGTATAACCATACAGGAGGTTTTGACAATGAGAAAATCACAACTGGATTATGGAAAGAAATGATATCAAAACTGAAGGAACCCTGTCGAAGTAGGGCTGAGAAACTTTTGTGTGCTTATGCATTTCCCAAATGCATAGATAAAGATGGAGTTGGTTATTTTGCACTGCCACTTTGTTTAGAAGATTGTATGGCAGTTAAAATGCAGTTTTGTTACAACGATTGGATAGTTATCGAAGAACAAAAGCGACGGGGTGTTTTCTTTGAAAATAGAGGACATTTTCGGTTTCCAGAATGTGAAAAATTACCCAAATTTACGGGAAAAGGACTGCAAGTATCATGTAACAATGTTGGTATTACAAACATGGATTACAGTCAAGTAACAACAACATGTTACAGGGATAATGGACGGTATTACCAGGGCACTATGAATGTAACAGAGTCTGGATTAGCCTGCCAAGCATGGGAGTCACAATCCCCTCACCAACATACCAGACCCCCCTTAGTATTTCCAGAAGTCCAGAATGCTACCAATTATTGCAGGAATGCAGGAGGAGAGGAAAGTAAGCCTTGGTGCTACACAATGGACCCCAATGTACGATGGCAACATTGTGATATTCCATCATGTGCCAATACTAGTGATGAATTTGACAATAGAAATGGACCAAATAATATTGTTATGGAGAACTACTTTACACCTACATTTGTATTGTTGCTCTCAATTGGTGGCCTTGGATGTGTCTTGGCTATAGCTTCAATAGCTTTGTTATGCCATTATTTTGTTAAAAACCATTACTCCAAATGTAATGTATCAAGCCGTAGAAACATACCCAATATGGACATAGATCTGGATAAATTACCCAGTAATTTAGCTTACCATACAACTGGTGCACAATTGAACCCAAAGCTTGAAAAATTGGAGTTTCCAAGAAATAACATTATATACATTAGAGATCTAGGACAAGGTGCTTTTGGTAGAGTATTTCAAGCCAAAGCCCCTGGACTTATACCTGAGGAGGAATTCACACTTGTTGCTGTAAAAATGCTCAAAGATGAGGCTTCCCATGACTTGAAACTGGACTTTGAAAGAGAAGCTTGTCTGTTAGCTGATTTTGACCATCCAAATATTGTAAAATTACTTGGTGTGTGTGCTATTGGAAGGCCAATGTGTTTATTGTTTGAGTTTATGGGAAAAGGGGATTTGAATGAATATTTGAGAGCTTGTAGTACAGCTACCAATTTCCCACCTTCTGTTGAAAACAGGGAGGATCTGAGATTGTTAGCCACTCCTCTCAGCCATTTAGATCTTTTGCACATTGCTAGACAGATAGCTTCTGGCATGGTTTATTTATCAGATAGAAAATTTGTTCATCGAGATTTAGCTACTAGAAATTGCCTTATCAATGATGATATGGTAGTAAAAATTGCAGATTTTGGATTATCACATAAAATATACTTACAAGATTACTACAAGGGTGATGAACATGATGCCATCCCTGTGAGATGGATGCCTTTAGAAAGTATACTATACAA